TCAATAATTTTGCAGGTGGCAAAAGTGCGTTGATAAGCAACGTTATTACTCTCCGTTCTCATTATAACACTCTACGGAAAAGGAATCATCCCTTCCTTGTGAAAGGGGAAAATACTGTTTGAAAACACGACCTACATTGCTCTATGATGCCTTGAATAAAACAACAAACATAAACAGTTCTGTTTTCCAATCGAAAACTATAGTTTCAGCCTATAAGATCATATCTTATTTATGACTAATCCAGTATTTATTTTAGAATAACTTCATTTATATCGAATAGCTCTGTCAGTTCCAAACTATTCTTCATAGAGGTTCAGAAAGGCTCATCTCTTATTTATCAAGTGTAATACTACAGGCGGAAACGTAAACATAACTATATAACATTAATAATGCTGAACTATAGGCTAATACTGATTGCTCTATTCTTTCTAACGGCAGTAAATTAAAGATTATATCAAGGCCAAGTAAGGATAGTATATCTTCGATTGGTCAAGTGCGTCAAGAAAAGCTAAACTAACTTTATTAATACTAGATATCTCTTGAATCTCATTGTTTAATATCATATGTGATATGGCGCGTTGGGAAAACTTTTTTTTATTCAGCCCTATTGCACTCCATCTGTTCCAAACTGTTCTTCATTATGCACCTAACTTTCTGAAGTGTTACAAATGAGATACAATACAAATAATTGTTGGTTGTATAGCTGCTTTTCGGGTAGGTAAGACAAGGTCTCGCGTTTAACGATGCGATAAATTGCTGGGAAAGGAAACATCTGTCATTCTGAACAAAAAAACTCATAATGTATACACACAAGTAAAGTATTTTTCGGTTACATATTAGGAAAGCCTCATCATCGTCTCTTCGACACCCTATAATTATAAGACAAGGTCTTTTTCCAGGTATTTCCTGTCGATTTAAGTGTATGTAAACCACACACTCAAAAATCGACGGGGTATACAAACTACTGATAAAAACCACGGAATTTAGTCGAAATGTAATCGAAACCTATATGGCTATATCATATCATTCCTCCTCCCACAGAGATCCCACGACGACTGACCTCGAAAGGTAAGTAATTAATAAGTTAAACTGGAGCATGTTATTTATACAAGTCCGATTAACGTGTGACAGAAATTTCCCGGGCGGGGGAGAGGCACAAAGGACACCACTTATCAGAAGCGAAAGACCGCGTATATCTCTCCAGCATCGCAGAGGAATTTGGACTGTTGAAACACCGAGTGCTTGTTTAAAAAGTGAAACCTACACCCACTAGCGCGGTTTGATCTCAAAAGAACATTCCTGACTTCTCCAACCTAAAGTTTCCTGTTCGGTACAAAAGAGGTTTCAAACTGGCCAGCAGCCCACATAAAATTCTCCCCAGAAACAACTACACTTGCTAGCCTACACCGTTCCTTGCCACATGAAAAATTTCTTTAAAGAACCAACAAAACCCCACCGGGGTTTGTCGTCTGTCACTTTGTCTTGGTCTTTTTCGCAAAAAGTGACCTTAAAATTTTGAAAGCTATATTCCTTGCGTTTGGCAGGCAAAAAGCGATTTTGATGGCTAAAGACGTAGCCGAGGATCTTTCTTGCACAATTTCAGAACGGCTGAATTCTTCTAACTCTGAGAATTAAACCAGCGAGTTCTGTTTTCAAAGATTCATGCATGCAAGAAAGACTTTTATGAGTTATGTCCGGTCAAATTGATTGCATGATAACATCATTATAATAGCATTCCGCTTGATCGTGAATAAAGAAAAACTCAACTATTTGTAAGTCACAACCCCCTTTGATTGCATCCGCAAAAATTTATACACCCCGGCTTGGAAGTCGTATATTTCTGTAAATGGGAAATTATTTCAAACGGCTAATTTGGGAACAAAGACTGCGATAAAAATGTAAGACATGCTTTATTTCATCATGCTCATAAAATTTAAAGCCGAATTGCTAGAAATGCTATAAAACCGATTGTTAAAAGTCATAACATTAGCAAATATGTTTTGATCTAAAATATTATACTATGGTCTCTGTTCAATTTGCATTGAAGCCCCGTTTACACTACACTCAATTTATCGGCACGGTACGGCTAAAATGGGTACCCGTACCCAGTTTTATTAGTATTCAGGCTACCAAAACAAAGGCCGAGTACAGATGAAATAAGCCCGGTAACCCATTTTAGCCGTGCCGTGCCAATAAATCGAGTATAGTGTAAACGGGGCTTGAATGATGAATTTGAAGCTTTACGAACAAGTTCATACGGCGGCCATCTTTTTAACCTCGAAAGCATGGTTTAATTTTTAACTGAATAAACATTTAATCGAAAATACATCTTCAACCTACCTTTAATAGTAAGCTATTTCTTCTGTAATTTTCAGAGCGCGCGGGTACTTGAATTATATACTGTTCTTTTTTCAGTTATATCGTCGCTATAATCGGCCGCGGAAATTGAAAATAAGTTCTTTCTAAAACAGAACTAAATTTGCACGGCTTTCATCCAGACCAGGCTATCTTTGACACAAATAATTTGTAGTAGTTGGTAATATTTTACCCGTAAATCGTTTCCATGGCATTATGTCGGCGTGAACTTAATTGTCAATTTTTAATAGCGGACTTTATATCATGCATATCATTTAAGATTACACAATTGCAGAAGATACAGTATATCACAACAGCGAAGCAATATGGCTTATTTTCAACTTTAAAATGTATGTTTTTCCTAACTAAAAAACAAGTAAAGCAAAATATTTATAATCTCCCACGGGTGCATGCATGATATAAAACGCTATTAAAGTTTAGCTATAATTTTAATTGTCCAGTTGATAAAACCGTTTGGCATTTGCCCAAATTAACTCTATGATCAATAATCTCTTAACTGCTTGTTCCACAATGTTCAGAACAGAGGGAAATGACCTATTTATTGCTCTTAAGGCAAAACAGCATAAATTTACCAAAATGACATTTTTATAACCGTAAGTAAATATAGCCCGATAAAACTATTCCTCTTGAAGGTCCAGTATAGGAGTAGACTGTTGTTTTTACAGAATAGAGTTCTATTGTAAAGGCCCAAAAAGGATCGTCTCCTATTAATTCAGTGCTACTACAGGAGGGAGCCTGAAGTAAATTAACTTCATTTAATAATGCTTGATAGCTCTATCAGTTCCTAACTGTTTTTCCTCAGGGTCATCTCTTATTGATCTTGTGTTACTATTTCCTCCTGTAGTAACACTGGGTCAATAAGAGATTATCCTTACTGGACCTCTAGGAAGAACAGTTTATAGAACTGATAGAGCTATCCAGTATAAATAAAGTTAGTTTAATTTAGGTTTCATCCTGTAGTAACACTGGATCAATAAAAGATGATCCTTACTGGACCTCTAGGAAGAAGTTTAGAACTAATAATACTATTCCGAAATAAAAAAAAATAGTTTAGTTTACAATTCCACCTGTATAGTTGCACTAAATCAATATAAGAGATGAATCCAACCAGAGCTCCACGTTGGAAAACCAATTTAGAAATGTTCGAGTTATCAAGTATAGTTAAGCTGTATATAAATCGTTAATGAATTTGTTAAACATATTAAGAATAGTAGCGATACAAAAGCCAACTTATTTTGGAAAAAAGCTTCTAGAAAGAACCCAAACTCTTGACTAATACAAGCTCAGATATCTGTCAATATCGTGTCGTTGTTTCATTATGAAATGATGATGAACTGCACGCATCTGTTTCTGTTTACAAAACTTTATTTAAAAGGCGCACATAGAGAGATATTAGGCATGTTGTAACCAATACGAGATAATGACTAAATTACTAAGTAACCTGACAGGTGCGGCGAGTTCAAAAAGATAAACAATATTCCAAATACTGATACGCCATCTTGCGTATTGCAAAGTGCAAACACTTACACGCTGAGATTTGGTTTTAGTGAGAACGTTTGGATAACAAAAGCACATGGGGGCGTCGACAACTTTCAAGCCTGATCTCACGGGCCCATTTCACTAATAAAATGCGAAATATTTCGCCCGTGTTTCCTTTGGATTGCGACTACTTGAAGTATATTATTCCCTCTTGAGTGCCCACGTTTCACAAAGGAAAAGGCAGAAATATTTCGCATTTCACTCAGAAGTAGCACAACTCTTGTCCTCCTTGACTACGATGCTGCCTTTTTTGGATTTATTTACGCGAATTGTGGAATAACAAAGATCTATTGTATCAAATCGTCATGGATGTGTCGAGGTATCTCATTTTATCAAATGTTATGTAACTTTTTATGGTTTCAAAAAAAAAACGGAGGGTTGGAGGTTAACGAGGACATACGTCACACTGCCATGAAGGAGAGGACGACAGGTGGTAGCTAGGGACATGCAGGGATATATATTATCATGGGTGGTATGGTTGAAGTTGTGCATTAAGACACTGTATCACTTGTTTGGTAAGTGTATTAAAATTAGCATTTATAGGCAAAACCTGCGCTTGATACGGACGGCTACGATACTGCTATAGGATTCTGCTATTTACTCATTTCAATGTCCTACTCACTCATTTCAATACGTCAAATCACGCTTTGTCTTGGGTAAGCAAGATTACACATAAACAGACTATAAACAGCTTCTAAGACTATCGTAAACAAAGGCAAACTCTCTGATTTAACTAAACAAACCGGATCTTTTAAAATACACACAGTACATTCCGTTGTTTTAAACTGTTTCCGTAGATCAGAATATCAACAAGGCAATATTTGAATGAATTAGTATTTGCAGATACGTAAGTGCCCATATAAGGGATATTTGGTAACCCATAATTATCTTACAAAAGCCGGTGCGAAGGAGTCGGATATTTTACAACGGGGTTTATTTGCCGTCAGACTTTCATTATACTATGGTTCTACAGATTAAACTTAAGGTCCCGCTTTATACTTTCGATTTTTATGCTTTTTCATTGTGTGAGATTTTTCCCACCAGTGAAAATTTTAAGGATGTCCATATAAGGGTACGTATTGCCACATACATCAGAGCTTTGTGATTATTCGCTCGTTTACTTCCATCAAAAGACGATGTCCGCTACGGAAACCTCATCAAACATTACAAATGATAACGGGGTTTTATATTTATAGAATATCTGCAACTTCAAGCGTTTTCCTAAGTTAATTAAGGAAAGGTATATTTTTGGTGAAATTTCGAGAAATATAGACCGAGGGCAGTTGTATAAAAAACTAGTTAACTTTTAAATGTAGTAAGGACAGAATTTGCCAATCAGAGTTGTGTATTTCTGAGTTAACTAGGATTTAACTATGCAAAGTGTAGTTGAAGGGTTTTATACAACTGGCCCCGGGTATAGAATTAGTCTTCAATTTGGTTTAAGGCCTGCGTAGTAATTTCCTTGATCTCTCATTTGATTAAGTTCGGCGTAGCCATTAAACAAGCAGTTTTCATACCTTACTTCACTTTGCCTAATGTAGCTTCTGTGTGGCAATTCGTAGCCAGCGCCACTTCGAGTCAACGTGATTGCATCCACGCTTTCATACGATGAATTTCTCCCAATTTCTCCAACCTTATCGTTCGACGGTTCATCGTAAACGGCGGTTTCGACAGAGAAACGCGGGGAGGTGGGTGTGTGGGATCCCCCGAGGGCTGAAGTGGCCCCGGTGGTCCCTGGTACTCCAGCTTCTGGTTCTGGGTTTGCCTGTCGAGTTTTGGATGGCTTGCCGTTTATCAATCGACGGCAACCGACCAATAAAATGATCAGAAAATTGATTCCGACGACGACACCCGACGATACAATCGCGATAAAGAAATACAGCGAAACCTGATCATCAGATTTTGTAGAATCTAAAAAATACAAGATAACAATTTAAAACTGAGACAAATCTGAACGAACTATAAATATTACCACAACATACAGGCTTCTTGGCTGCCATGTGGAAGTTGACAGGCTGCTTGAGCCTTTGAGGACTCTTCACAAGATGCCCCCCCCATACTCAATACCCCCACGAATTACTTTTTGCCCCCAGTCGAGGCTCTTTTGGGGGCAACTATAGAATACCCGGTCAACCCAACTCATAAAAGTGAATGCTATATAGAAACACCTTGTCTTATGTTACTTGATGGACTCTAACAGAACAAGAATAAACAGTAAAAACTCTCTTTTTAATGAACGCGGCAGTTCTATATTCCAAAACTCATCCTCTAACAAATCTTTAACACAATGCACTATTGGCCTGGGGCCGGTTGTATAAAACTCGTAGTTAACTAGAAAATACATCATTCTGATTGGCCAATTCTGCCACTAACTATAGTTAAAAGTTAACTACCTTTTTATACAACCGGCCCCTGGTATTCTATAATTGTACCCTCTTTTGAGTGTAAATATTAGCAAAATAACCATGTTCAGAAGAAACCAATGATATACTTTAAATAAGCCTTGCGACGCTGGGTGGAGAACATCAAAAAGTGTTCTCTAAAATGGAGAGCAATCAAGTCAAAATGTATACCAAGAAATTTTCTTGGGGGGGAACCTAAGACTCTTTTCATCTTTAAATTACCACTTTGTGGTTAGGCTCCTGTTGGCCATCCGCCTTCCCCCCTGAACAATTTATCTGGTGTGTTTCCGTACCTGTGGTGGCGTCTTCGCTGTTGTTGCCAACTTTCTGTGAATCATCCGCTTCATTTTTAATCTTTGAAACATTTTTTAAGGTGTTAATGGCTAGCTTGTCATCTAAGGATGATTTTGGCAGCTTTCCACTCGGTGGTCGGATCCCTGTGTGAACAACGTTCCCCCATTAAGAAAAACCCAAATTTTTGAATCATCAAAAATTCAGTGGGGTATGAGTAGGGACTGATTATCACCTTAAGGACTGTAATTGAATTACAATTGGCGCAGCTTGCTTTGATGGATGGCTAACTTTTTAACTCGCTGAACCAAAGTAAATAAAGAAGTATTTGTCTCGGGACTGTCTTGAAATAATCATTCATGCTTTTATAACTTCAAGATTGGATTACTGTAACTCACTGCTATATGGTGTATCAAAATATTTACTCCAGAGGCTACAGAGAGTCCAAAATACTGCAGCACGTCTATTAACTGGTACTAGGAAATCGGAACATATTACACCAGTACTTATTGAATTGCATTGGCTACCAGTCCAATATCGTGTCCAATTCAAAATTATCCTTCATGTGTATAAGGCTATGAACGACCTTGCTCCACCGTATTTGAAGGAACTCTTGCATTATTATACTTCGCAGCGTTCACTTCGATCAAATAACTGTGAATTGCTCCAGATTCCCTGTTCTAGACTGAAGACATTTGGGGATAGATCATTTTGTGTCGCGGGACCACGATTGTGGAACGAATTACCCATTAATCTTCGGATGTGCAAATCAATTACTGTTTTTAAAAAAAATCTTAAAACATATCTTTTTAACTTATTTTTGAATAATGTATGACGTTGGTCTTAACATTTATATTATTAGGTTTGTTAATGATTTAGATATTTTAATAGTTTTAATATTAGATTTTACTGTAAAGCGCCTAGAACAGAACACAATTTGGTTGTGCGCTATAGAAATACTTTTATTATTATTATTATTATTATTATTAAATGCAAGATTTGCAAACTTCGTAAGCTGCAAGTCTTTCTAGAAATATAACATTTTGCAACCAACGCTTTTTTCTAAGATCTACTGATTTGCAATAAAAAAGTAAATCAACTCTGTTTGTTCTCTTGAAAATCAAAAGTTAACTTGAATCAAAAAACTTGGCTCTAAATAGCGACTATGCTTACAACCGAAGTTTCAAAGACAAATCACACCAAATGAGCATGCGCCTCGGGCGCTTTATAGTCGAAAACGACGGGGCAAATCATACCTTGCATTTTTCCTTTACGACAAGTGTAGCGGACGAGTAGAAACGTTCTACGTCGACAGTTCGTTTGCAAAAAATCAGCATCTTTGACAGCGAAAAAGCATTGCGTTTTTCCGTCGCATTTTCCTTGTACCACACTGGTTGCAGTTGTTGTTACACAGTTCTTGATACTTGAGGAAATCACGTATGGATAACTATTTGTATGCATGACACCGAAATTTGCCCAAATTATCTTTATTGTTGAGCACGGTTCACATCTTAAGTCGGCATTCTTTCCCTCGGAAAACATGCGTTGGTTCACTAAAAGATGAGTGAGGTAAAATTGCGTGAAGACTGGGACTTGACACTAGGGTTGCCTGATTTCGAATGAATAAGTACCACGTGATCTCGCGCTCGTATTTCAGCCAATCAGCGCTCGGAATGGTTGTTGAAATAGAAACCATTCTGCAGGATTTAATCGATTATATCTTTTGTTGTGTTTTATGAAATTAGTTGAAACTTTTGCGATTATGTTTAGTTATCAGTAAAAACTTTATAAATTAGAAACCAAAATAAAGCCAAGAGATATGAAGTTGTTTCAAGCGAGAAATTGATCAGTTTTAGTTGACAGCTAGTCCCGGTCCCTCTGCCATTTCAGATCACCTGGTATAAATACTATTATGACTATGAACTATTGAGTAATTGAGCAACCTGCTTGATAGTACATATGGGTATAATAAATGATATCAAAGAGAATGAAGGACATCTGTAGAAGTTAGGGGGGCGTACCTTGCGGGGAGAGGGGGGGGGGGGCGGATGACTGGCACCTAATGACTCACTGATTTGTCTTAATCAATATCCTACGATGTAGTTCTTTAAAAAGCAAAAAAACTTTCCCGAAACTAACCATAGCTGACTGCTTCTGAGCAATTCAAACCATCACAAGCTTTTTCCAAGATGTAAACACGATCGTTTTCTTTCGGACCTCCTTCGGATTTACTTCCTATGCACACTCTTAGCGACCGACCGAGGTAGAAATATTCCAGGTTGCCATTTTTCGTCGGACGATAACTCACAGTGCCTGCGTTGCAGGAATCCTTATTTGAATGAGCGCTTTTAAGAACGAGAGCTTTATCTTTTGGGTTACTCAAGCGTCTACAAAATGAGTAAAGGTATTTATTGGCTAAAGCTGAGCTAGTGAACAAGGGGGCGGGGAATTTCGTTTCAGACCAAATTACGTTTTCAGTAACCAAATCAGAATGCATAAATTTTGACTGCTTCAGGTGAAAAGTACATTATTTACAATTTTACATGAAGTATTAAATATTTAGGCACTCTGATTGGCTTTGCAAAGTGGCCTGTCATTTCTTTACTAAAAATCATGCATCTCTGCCCAAAACGTACCCGTTTGGCAAGATACACATTCCAGAAGCAATATGGAAGATCGGATGATCGTTTGAAACCAGAAAGAATGCATTTTTTGAGGTGCAGTCGCGAGACCAAATGAGATGGTTGTTATTCTGGTAGGAATCATCTTTCAATTTCATACATAACCCGTTGTTGTGCTGAATAACACCGTAGGCTATTGAAGTGCAAATGAATGTTAGGCCTTTTAGTTGAATTTCTGTATACACGGCACATATGAAAAGATGTTTCTTCCGTAAATAAAAATGACAGTATTTTAAACAAAATTTAATTCCTACCGTTATTTTGGAAGTAGCAATTGGGTCGAGTTTTCCCATTTTGACAGCAAGTTTTCGGACAACTGAATTTATCGCCACATGGTGAAATTTTTCCCGATGGTAATTCACATGAAAGCACAATGGCTACAAATGAAAGTAAGATCAAGTCCAGTAAAGGTAGGAAGTTCTACAATAGACTGTCGAGGTTTGTGTCTAAACTACCCGAGGCTGAGAAAGATATCTCAAACGTGGTGGTCTAGTGTAGGTAGTATTCTACAATAAACTGTCGTGGTTTGTGTCTGAACTACCTGAGAAAGATATCTTAAACGTGGTGGTCTAGTGTAGGTAGTATTCTACTGAATGAACTGTCGTGGTTTGTGTCTGAACCACCTGAGAAAGATATCTCAAACGTGGTGGTCTAGTGTAGGTAGTATTTTCCAATAAACTGTCGTGGTTTGTGTCTGAACTACCTGAGAAAGATATCTTTAACGTGGTGGTGTAGTGTAGGTAGTATTCTACAATAAGCTGTCGTGGTTTGTGTCTGAACTACCTGAGAAAGATATCTCAAACGTGGTGGTCTAGTGTAGGTAGTATTCTACATTACAATAGCTGTATTACCGCGTATATAGGCTAGAACACCTATTTCCAGAACATCAGACATAAACACGTCGAAACTCATTGGAATACAAACTATATACAATGCTATTTACCTTTTTCCATGAACAAGAAAAACACCAAAACAGCAAGAAAATCAACGTTTTCTTTTGAGAAATCCATTTGAACTTGAACACGTCTCGCGACTGAACTTTGAATGCCTCACAATAACAAGAAGGAAACAGCCAACTGTGGAAAAAAAATAATAGTATACTTGATAAAAACGAGGTTAAGCGGTTTTCGTTTTCGGAGTTTTAAGTTTGCCAAGAGTTGCCACAATGTCAACTGGTAAATTAAGATACAGCATTTAAAACGTTTTTGCCGACATTTTCATAATTAAAAATTTAAACGCCGTTCTTATACCACTATGGGGAAATCGGCTTTTTGAACGACTTCCGAAATTGCGCTGCTAATATTGGTTTGTTGATAAGGTCTACTTTTTCGGATTTCTATATCGATGAGCGTCAAAATTTGTTGATTTAGGCTGTGCAGAGCCTCAAAAACTCAATCTGAGTATGTTATAATTACCCACTTTGGTAACTTGGTTTATATCTGTGATTTTTGCATTCAAAATGAATGTTTGAATTTTAAAATATCTTCATAATGACAATTCTCTCATTTATTTGTATAAGTGCTTGTGAAGTTTGTTTATCAAGAGCAAACAAGTACAATATAACAGACATATTTTCCTATGACGATTTTTAATTTCGACACCACATAACCTGCAAGCGCTCAATCTGTCATAATATATGACCGTCAAAAAACGGTATTCGATTAGGAATAGATAATATTTAAGGACAATATAGTGAATATACAACTATTATCTCTTCAATTTATCTTACTATATAATAACGTCAGTGGCGCTGCGAACAGCAATAGTCGCTACGCTTACGATTACTATCGTTTATACAAATATTGAAAGTGATAATCATAGAGCACCCCACAGGTGAGGAACTCGAAGATTATATATTTCACGTTTTACGATCGAGTTGGGTTGTTTTTTTCGAGACTTCCGGGTTTTCTATCAAATTCAACCCATGCTTATAGCGATGAAAGAGAAAACTCGAAAAAACAAAAAATATTGAAAACATCTTCCATCGTGAAACAAGTCTGATGTAAACAGCAATGATCTGAAAAAAATAGGACTGATTTTTGCAGATCAATTGTAAACACAAGTCAAGCGGTGTGCGTGTAAAGAATTTTGGCCGGAAGGCGAACTGCTTCCTGCAACTTCCATACTATCAATTTTAAAAGTATTACTGAATTGCAAAAACGTGAATATTGTATAGACCCCTAGTAATATATTCATGTGGAAATATATATATGATTAAGCTGTGCGTGGCCATAAAAGAGGGCATTTTTTTTCGCCATTCTCACATCGCCTTTAACGTCCTTGCCCTTGATCTTAAATAAGGTCCTAATTTCATGTCAAGACTCCAGAGTCCACGAATATAATCTTAACTTTTAATCCTGAACCAGGCCCTAACCCTTACCCAACTACCATACTAAAAGGGCCGGTTATATCAAAATTAAACAACACTCTTACATCTCTCTTGAATGAGTCAACTTGAATTCATATTACATATGCATGTAGTTGTAAACACTAGGCTATCTTTGTATTAAGCTTAAAAACATTTTGTTTGCTTGTTGAATAAAACGATAGACATGCTTGCATGCTATTTTGAACTTAACCACCGTTTAAGCTAAACGGGCTTGATACAACCTGCCCAAGGATTAGAATCAAGGATTATATTCGTGGATTCCGGACATGAAATTATTACCTAAAATAATATCTGATCCTAATCCAAGCATAAATACAAATTATCTGGATTAGTAGTACTCCTTGCTCATAAACGAATACATTCAATTATTGTTCAACTTTTTCTATAATTGTTTTCTATTGACCACATCAGTCAATTGTCAAATTCCCTAATAATTATTCACAAACCATGTATGCTGACTCTTCAACTTATAAAGGTAATGTCCAGTCGTAATGTAAACAAACACTTAGTTTACACGTTTGTTTACATATCAAATGCATGCGTACCTCACACATAACTGGTTCGCTATGGGTTTAACTAAATACGAGGTAGAGTTCGTGTCCAAAAAATCATTTGTGAATTAGGGCAAGAATTGAGGCAACTTTTACATTCGCCGGACATGCATTGGTTACGGCGAGCAGAACCGACGCCCAAAACACGACTGGACATCACCTTTGACATTTAATACCAAAATCCTCAATAATCAACTACCCCTCACCTGCCAGTTTTTGGGACTTATTTGAGTTAATTGAGACGTATCTAACTAATATCATGAATTTTCAACTAGTCTAACTTTGAGAAATATTTTTCTATTATATATAGGGAGGAATGATCTGGAGCCGGTTGTGTGAAAGCCGAATAGGGCTATCCACCGTAAACCTTCACAAAATGCTTGAATAGCAATAATATAAGAGGTTCCTCAATTTAGGAATACTAAGATTTAAATTCAATACAAAGTTATACCCAACAACGGGCGATTTTACTATACGGTGGATAGCGCTATCCAGCTTTGATACAACTGGCCCCTGGAGAAAAAGGGCGTGGCAGGGGTAGTTGTATTAGAGTTACCCGTATTGGAGGATTTACGGTACATTTCTAGGAATGCATGACCATTCGTAATAAATATTGGCCGGGAACCCTCTCCAATGTCATATTCTTGTTTCCATGAAAAATATATCACTATATATCTGTATATTCGCTACATGAAATCATCAAATTCATCTCTATATGTTGAATAATCTTCTACATCAACACCCTTGGTTCCTTTGACACTTCCACCCAACACAGCTTTTCGGCCCTTTTTCTTGCCTTTAACAGGCTGACAAAAACAATTAAATTTAGAAATTCCAAGAAGTCACTGATTATTCCAAGAAATGATTTAGAAATTCCAAGAAATAACTGAAGTGGTTTCAATGTATTATACACTAGAATTTATAACTGATGCCATTAAAAATACCTTTTGGGCTTTTTGTTTTTCTGTCGCTAAGGCATTTAAAGCATTTGCTAGCTTTTTAACATCTTCCACTTCCACTAAACAATATTGTATTGTTCTTAGAAATGTCAGTCAAATTTACAAACAAGTCAACTCCCATACTTACTTCCACTTGCAAGGTCTCTTAATAAAACTTCTAAAAATCCTGGGTATTCGACAGAAGACTGTAAAAAAATCACATTGTAAACAGATATACTAGATTGTGAAACACGTTCACAGTACAGTCCCCGACCTACCTCAAATTCTGATAATTTTTCTGTCAACATTTTTGCTAATTCACTAAATTCTTCTTTACTTGTAGGTTTAAATGTATCTATTGTTTTTTTGCCTCCTTCAGTAAGAGCATCACCTCCTAAGAAAAACCACATCAGAATTCAGAGCAAATTCAAATTGCAGAAATAATTTAAAGACAGATGAAATGAGAGTTTCAATGAGTTTCCCAGAATGTATCATGAGACTTTGCAGAGCAAGGGATAAATATTTACTAATAACTAATGAATTGGTCATTATGTTTGAATATGCTCTATTGTGACAATAGACCTTATGCATAATGACACATCAAGTTGTGATGCCTGCAGGGAATTCTGGTTTTTTGTAGTCACAGCGAAAAATTCAAACTTTAAAATTTCCCACTGTAGGTGTTACAGCTTGTTATATCATTATGCATAAGGTCTATTGACGAACTATCCTTGGTACTTACCAAATAAATCCTTTGCAACCTGTAAATCCGACTCCTCTACTAATCTGCAAAAAATGAACACATCATTACAACTTGATTATCCTTACATGTCAACTATATATTATTGTATATTTGTATTAATATATAAGAGATTATAATGTTAAAAAGATGGAAATTTGCATACTTTTGTTTTGCTAATTTATCTTCCAGCGAAGAAAAAATCGATTCCTGAATCAAAATGAGAGCAAATAGTACATAAATAAATGTTGCTGTTGTTCTGTCACCAATATTGTATTTGTGAAAATTTGCCTGTGACAGGCAGTTGGCAGGTAATACACATTGATATTCTAACTGTAGTCACCTCGTCATCTTCTTCATCTTCTCCTTCCTGTTCTCTCATTTCAGCCTTTCTCAACATTTCTTCTCTCCTTTTTTCCTCTTTCTCCAATATTTTTTGTTTCACTGTCGACTTTTTCTTTTTAACCACAACTACAGCTTTCGGTTCTATACCAATGCAGATGAAGCAAAACAATGTATATTATAGTTTTGCAAATCGCTAGGTCCCGAAAATGAAAGGTGTCAGATGCACTCCCATAAAGGATATAATAAAGTAAATAAACATTGCTATTTTTATAGGAAAAGTCTATATAAAATACATCAAAAGATATTTCAAACCTGTTTGACCTTCAGCCGGTTTATCATTCTCCTCTTCCTCATCATCCCAATTTTCCTGAAAATTAAAAAAAATCTGGGTTATAAAATCTGAGCGTCACAGCCAGGCCAGTTGATCAACCAAAAAATAATCAAGAAAAGATGTGGAATTCTTAATGCTAGAAGTATACAGAAAACACTCTTCTTTTCACAGACCACACATGAAAAAAAATTGTATTAATCCATTGCCACTTTATGGATTAAAATAGCACACATCAAAATACAGCTGTAAGCCACAGTAACCTTTTTCAAGTAGATCATTTGGGCTGAGTGCCGGTTACTGTGGCAGACAATAACATACATTAGTCATTTAACTTATATTTCAGGGTATTTTCTTAGCATGACATTTTGCAACGTGTAATTAACTCAAGTGTGGCATCATAGTGAAATATAAATATTGGAACATAATCTGAACATATCATATCACTTAAAATAGCAACGTCTATTATAAGATTTCTCGTACTTTCAATTCATCATCGTCTTCATCTTCGCCTGCCCATGCATCGCCCTTCTTTTCCTCGATTTCACCAGGCTCAAAGCCTTCGTCGTCTGTAAATAAACAAAATTGTACACCATTTTGTACTTCCCATGTTATCATCCTCTTTATATAAAAATGAAGCGAATTTCAACAAAACATTCAAGTTCCCAAAAGCCTTGTCTCCCAAAAACGGACAGCACAGGCCATCAACGTTTACGGAACACAGATTTTCATTCAAATTTTAGGGAAAACAACAGATTTTTTTTATAAAATAATAAACTTTTGCTTACCCCAATCCGCCATGACTCACATGTGTTGAAGGCGCGCGACAAACAATGAACTGGGACGAGTGATGACGATTGACTAACTTTGGCAGGATTTCTTTTGCCGCATAATGCGACAAAAATATTGACCAAATAATTTGAGTAATTTGACTTATTTTATACCATTTGTTGTACATTAAAACATACACAACAGATGACATATATGTGAAAAGCCTTGCTTGATATGTTCCTGTGTTTTTTTCCTGCAAATTATAGCAGTGATTTTTTCCCAGATTTTGCTATTTTTTTTAATTTCTTTTTCAATATTTTCATTGAATCATACAAGACGGTTCAGAGCTGCCACAGCCCGTGCAAGTGGCATGATATAATGCTGTGGGATTATAACATGCAGCTGCGGCAGGAAGAATTGAAATTTACATATCTAAGAATTATATTTCGTCTGTTTTTAAATCATTAGAATATGCAAATTTTCTTGAACTTGAAAAACAATTACTTTTCTCACGGTTGACTAACTGTTGATCTAGAAGCTATTTCCCCTTAAGTGCAGCGTATTAATCCATTGTGTTTGTGTCCATGTTAGATTGAAATCATTCAAATTAATGTGAAATTAACGAGCAAACATTGTGTTTTTACTTTTTTTTCCTAGACCACTATCAACATTTATAATTAGGGGTTAACAGTTTGATATTTTGATAATACGGGACGCGTATATATTATGTATCGACTGCATTTTCATGTCACAAACTAAACTGATCATTAGCCAACGTCATTAAACCGCAGTCTTCACATGAGCGATCATTTAAATACAATCAATTTGTTTATTATTGAAACAAGAAAACAACATATCATATAATAATAATTATTTATAGATTCCTAATAGATAATTGATGATTGCATTTTTAAAATAAAATTGAGCAGTTGCAAAGTTCTTCAATAAGGCAAATATCCAGTCACAAATTATAAGGTCCTATTTAGCCTTTGACCAAATGACCTTTTAAACAGCGTTGCCTTGTTTTGTCCATTCCTAAAGCTCTAACTTTCCAAGTCTCATTTGTCCGTGTTGCTCTTTCGTTCCTCTTTTCGTTTATCCTCGGCGTTTCCAATCTTGTCTGCAATTTTCCTTTCATGTCCAGGATAGCCATGTTGATGTTTATTTTGATCGGCTTCTTTCTTCGACTTTCCCTTTCTCGAATGTGAACCAGCGTGCACGCTTTCGTCGCAATTATATTCCTCGTATTCGTCAGCAGCGTCCGCCATTTTGAATGCTAGCACGTAGGAACGAAATCGATATTTTCAGCCGAAAAAACGTAGATATTCCCGTAGATTTGCTTAAAATCTAGCCACTTTGATACCAAAACACGTTGTATCGTGATCGGCGTGAGATGACGTTGCATTGAGGGCACTGGGTCGAGTTTATCGAGGCAACCGCTTGACTATGTGCGTTGGCTCAAATGACTTCCGCCATTTGTAAAATTGCATATGAAAAATGCAAGAATTTCAGACGTTTTTTAGAATTTAAAATCACGAACATAACAACTATCTGTAGTGCTCATTTGTACTACAATAACAAACTTTCATTATCCGAAGAATTTTGACAAAATTTGCAGCATTTTTATGGTCAAATGAAATAAAATTTAGCCAAGTATTTTTTAACCATACCGCTGACCGATATATTCTACTGTGCGCAGGCGTCATTCCTTTTCCATTTTAGAAAATTTCACATGGTTGAATATAAATATTTTGGTGAAATTTTCTTCAAAATAATCACAAAATGCGTTTAGAAAAATGTTACTTTTGTTCATCGACTGTTTGGCCTGGTCACGGCATAGCGTTCGTGCGAAATGATTGCAAGGTATGTTTGAGAATTTGTTTTAAAATCCTTTAGGAGTTTTATACTATGAGAATTCAAGAAATATTCATATAAAGTAAGGTTTAAAGACTACGAACTAAGAGTTATTTAGAATATCTGTGTGACTGTGTATGTCATGGTGATCCTTGAAATACATAACCATTTTGTTTGCAAACCTTTTCATAACTTTACAAAATTGATTGAAGAAACTTTAATGTTGCTTCATTTGTGATGGATGTGGTGCAATGGGTCATATTATTCAGACCCTTACAATGAAAGTAACTTTGGGCATACATAGAGAAAGAAAGGATGGCTTCCATAATTGAGGAAAGTATTTGAAAGACCATAATTGAGGTTGAACTGAATGGGTTTTTGACAGGTGTTCCGGTTCTGCCGAGCAAAATGCCACAAAGCCTTTAAGAGAAAACGAAATCCAAGAAAGGTCAGATGGACGAAAGCATTCAGAAAAGCTGCAGGCAAAGAACTGGCTGTTGTGAGTAGAGTGAATTTTTGTTAAGACTGTAAAAGTCTGTATAAAGTGCCTGTGGTGCTGTATTTATTAGCAAACATGTGTGAATGTTGATTTTGTAGGATTCAACATTTGACTTTGAAAAGAAGAGGGATGTTCCAGTTCGATATACAAATGAAAATGTTAGGCAGACAGGTTGGGTTTTCAACAAATATAAGTTGTGTTCATTTTATGTCAGATAATAGAGTTGGGCGTATTACTGGAGTGATTTTAATTATGGAGCTCTAATTTTTTTAACCTGTATTCAAATAGTCACTGCTATGAAGAGAATCTCAGAAATACAAGAGAAGCGTCAGAAACAGTTCATCCGAAACAGGTAAAGAAGCCAATCTGAGTTCAGAGTTTGATTTAGTTAAATTTGAAAATTAAAATTGTTATGTCTTATCAGATTAAAGGCAAGCAAGAAGCTTTCTGATGAAGCTGATCTGAAGGAAGTTGAGACAAATATCAATCTAATAAAACCAAAGCCAGGTGAATATTTCTTTATTTTTAAATTTCATGCAGTATCTGTGGCCAGCAGTTGTCAATATAGTTTTGTTTTACCAAAACTAAAATGTCAAATTTCTCACAGCTCTGAAGAAATCTGCCAGCCAAAAGATCTCACAAGTCATGAAAGATGTCGAGCAAATGGAGACAGAGGATTAATGTTCATTATTATGATGGATTTTGTAAATACAGTCTAGATGCAAAGTAATAAATGTTTTTCAAAACACAAGCATTGATGTGTATCGAATCTTGTCTTTATCCATTACCCTGTTAGATGATGAAAGGGGTCAGCCCATCCCACACCCACCTCACCTCCCCTCATTACATGTAACATTTACACAGTATAACTGTAGTGTAACTAGGCATCTTAATAAAAGTCTATTATTTTCTAGTAGTCCCTAATCCTAGATAAAAATATGCATATATAATAATGAAAACTAAAAAAATACTGAAAAACTTACATGTCAAAATGATTCCCCAGAGTTGCCGTGACAGCGCAGGCAACAGGAAGACTGGGATCCACCATAATATGGCGACCGAAAATACCAGCGATGAAGTTATAAATATTCTTGTTGGGGTTACTGGTAGTGTAGCGGTCATAAAGCTTCCAATTCTTGTCGAAAAACTGCAAAAAATACCAAAGGTTATACGCTTTCCTTTTATTTACGTTTAATTTGTACAACCGAATATTTACTTCGAAAGTACGAGCTTTTGTTTATGAGTTTATAATAATTATTACGATTGTAATTCGTGGATTGTGCGTGGGTTACGCGAGCGGTGAATACGGACTTTTCTGATTGGTCGATTTCTGCTGATCATATGCAAAATCCTGACTTCTTGTTGGCCAAAAACTTTGAAGCTCATTGGTTGATTTTTTGGTCCCAGTTGGCAAAATATGAAAATTTGTGTTGAAAATTTTGTTTTTCAGTACTTACAATAGATATTTTCAAGTAATTAATTTAAAAAGTATTTCTGTTGATTTTTTTTTAAAATGAGCTAACTCTGGCTGTGTCCAGAGTTATTCTGATAGGCCATAAAGAATGCTAGTGTCTGACAACTGTATTTTTTTATTTGGTAGTGTCAAACATTCATCATGGATGTCAGGTGCTTTCTCAATATTTAGGGAACTCTGACATGATCTGCAATTGGAGTCTATTGTTGATACTTCGATTTGCTCATATATCTCGAAAGAGCCAGAATTTAGCAGTAGTGGGTATTAATCCTAGAATGAGTCCCTATATAATGCAGTCCTTTGTAAATTCTTGGAACAAAACACTACTAACACCCCCCCCCCCTCCGTCTTCCCTATAGTAAGTGCCTTGCTTAACACTTCTATAAATTGTATAATATAATATGTACATATAATATGAAAATATATTGTGCAAAAGGTTCATGTAAAGATTGTGGCGACTCAGAATTCATTTCACTTCTTTGACCGAAATTCCATTCCTGTTCAAATCTATGAAGATAAGGACGAGTGGGAGGTTTGTGTATACCTAATATACAGGCCACAGCTAATCAGTCCAGTTTGTATTGAGATCATCTTTCATTTTGATTTATATGGGGTTCTTTCAAAATTGTACAGACATGGAAAAAGATTGGTGATTCTGTTCTTCATATTGAGGTGTGAGGATAATATTCTAACTTAACTAACATCTGGCCATTCACATATCCAAGACATGTACCCATATGAATGAACCTTAATCCATCCTTCAAAGAGGAACTATACCTTGCACTGTCATATCTTGCATTATTCCCATAGAGCAAACTATCTATATACACACCTTGTCATGCCAATAGGGCAAAATATTCTCTGTCATATCTTGGGTCACTTTTGTAGGAAAAACTGTTTTCTGTTTATCGTTCACCACATCCATAACACAGACTATAAAATGTTATGATAAGCGTTATTAATATCCACAATTTAACAATTATATCATGAGTTTAAGTCGTATATGAGCTGAGAGCCAAAGAGAGAAAGCTGGGAGATTTTGACAAGAAAGAGCAAATAGCATAATTGTTTTATAATATACCGAAAACTTTATAATAATATAGGCAAACTTATAAAATTCTCACCACAAATTCTTACTGAATTCACTGCTCACCGTATATGAGCTGATATACTGTAACTAGCTCAGCCAATCAGATCGCGTCACATATAATTAGTTGCAATATACTTTTAGTTAAGAAGATGGGCAGAGTTATTTCTTATCGCACCACTTGATGCTAATACGATGGCAAAACTTTCTCATGGGTTATGTGATAACTTACTAGTAAGTTCCCCAAGAGAATCAGTTCCCAATTTTAAAGGAACTTACATAAATTTTATGTTTTGTAATCGAGTCGAGATCATAGAGTTTCTCATTTATTAATCTCGTGTCTGGCTACTTGTTGTTTTCAGACGAGTGTAGCGAGGGCTTGGGACCCAGTCAAACCGGTGTTCTACTGTCCAGCTATGAATACCCACATGTGGCAGCATCCGCTGACACGAGAACATCGGGAAAAGCTCAAGAGTTTGAAATATATTCAAATACCTCCAGTCTCGAAAACTCTAGCGTGTGGAGATTGTGGTGAGGTGTCTACTGACATTCAGGGTTTCCATTTCTAAGGAAATTTCCTTAGAAATTTCTAGATTTCTTGACTATTACGATTCATTATATTTTTTCGGTGAACTGACAAAGGTTTCTCAACAGTCATTGGTAGCCCAGCATGGGTTTTTAGTCCTAGGACCAAAAACTGATTTAAACGCACATTGTTCCGCCTACAATAACTAAAATGCTATCAATGTTTCACCCAGAAATATGCAATGTAAACATTTAACATGAACTCCTACTGTCTTACAAATGACCGAAATTTTCGCTGCAACTTGAAATTCTCCATCTTGCCCTCTCTTCGAGACATTTAAAATTTAATAAATTAAAAAGCATGGTGCATTTCCCTAAGTATATAATATTGACGAAACATCATTCTGTATCTAAAATTGCGATAACAAACCAAATTTCATAGTCACCCAACTCAAATATGCTAACCAAGGCTAAGTACCCTTGAGGCTTAATGTTCTGGGCAGGCGGAACTAGAGGCTAAGAGCTGGCTTGCAGCATATCTAACTATGCTGTAATGTTCATATTTAGGCATCGGTGCTATGGCTGAGGTGTCAACGATTGTAGATACAATCCGTAAAGCGCTGGGACGATAAAAAAGGAGAACTCGATTCCAGGTTTTCACATCTATAAGGAATTGGTCTGAAATCGAGATGTATGATAAATACAGTGTGTTGATTTTTGTTCCTTGTCGTTTATGATTTGTGATGAAGGAAATTAAATATCGGATCGTGTTACATCGTCAAGTAATGCCCTCAACAAACTCGCATTCACATGCAAATGTAAATAATAGATGCCAAGAGGCAAAGCGAAGTGACTTCAACAGACGATTTTCCTATATTCCTTTTCCAAAAACACTTCATTTTTCCACGAGTATGCTGATATATTCATATTTTAACTATTCACTTAGAAAAAAGATCTTGTAGTCGACAAAAAGTAAAAAATACATGTCTTTATGTATATCGTGTTGATTTATATGCAAAATCATGTCAAAATGATGGTCTTCCTTCAGCAATAAAGTGAAACAAACTCTTCCAATGTAAATGCGCCACCATAGTTAATTGTCTTCATTTGAGGTTGGATTTCCAAAGAGTGAACACATTTTTTTAAAGAAGCGAAAGAAAAATGAGGTTGTTCTCAGCATTGCTAGCTTTAGCATTGGTTACAACCCTCTGTGCCGTAAGTATGCACATTTTATATGTACAAGCAAGGAAAGGTTATGTTAAATTGTTTATATTAAAATACTATTGTATTACATAGTAAAGCGAATTATATTCATGTACGTGAAATTATTTTGTTACGACTTAACAAGTCCGTTAGACTGTGGCATCGGTCTCTTATTATATTGTAGGAATTAAAAAAATTACTAGCTTTGCACTTTGCGAAACTGCTACAAGCGAAAATATAGCATCGTCTGAATACATATAGAATAGGGTATTGTTGGGAAGATTAGCTGAGGACTTGCTGTAAAACTGGTCAAAGCAAATGCACAATAGCTCTTTTGATCTCCCCAACTTGTGGCATGCGCAAATTACATACATCCGACAAAACAGGTGAACCCATACGATCCTGGTATTTGCACAAAAAAGAAACGAGGAAAGTTTGTGGTTGTGAAAGATTACAATGATGATGATAAAATCCTGGCTTGTGTTCAACACGATGGAAAATTTCAGTGGGAAATGATCAATGGTAATCACTGTTAATTCCACTATTTGCCAATCACTGCTTGCTATATAAACAAATATTATGACTATGCAAATACAGATTCCGACCATAGGTCGCCCAATAATCAGGTTTTTGATGAAACAAGACACTCTTGCCAGTCTCAATATATTTTGACCGCGCGCTGCATTACGTACGTCACTCGGGTCACGTATATAGTTATAATTACATAATATAATATGTATATATAGCGTGTGGTCAAAATATATTGAGACTGGCTAGAGTGTCTTGTTTCATCAAAAACCTGATTGTTGGGCTACCTATGCTCCGACATGACTATTTAACACGCAAATTTTAGGTCATTCGTATGGCAATTATTTTGATCCAGCGAAGGATTGTTCTGATGTTATCGACAATGTTCCAAAAGCGGAAAGTGGAGTTTATTGGATTCAGACACGAAATGGTCCACAAAAGGTTGATGAAATAATCCGATTTTAGGCTGCACTGATTTCTAACCAATATAAACGCGCAAATAAACTTCAAACGTAGACTTTTATGGATAGAGTTTCATGTCTTTAACCAAAATCCATTTTATTAAGTCATGGTGCGATGTTGAAACAGACGGTGGGGGGTTCCTGTTGATTGGCGTCAAAGACACGCCAGAAACCTGGGCCATTCCTTCAAAAGCGTCTTTCATCCACCCCCACGGTAAGCCAATGTGGTCAAGTGCATTTGGAGATCAAGAAATCTTGGATTTTCGAGTTCAGATTTCCACAAGTAAAAATTTTCGTGATACACGTGCACATTGGTATGTTTGTTGATTGCTGTTTTCCTTGATATTTGACAGTCCACCTCTCAAAGTAACCATTTACAGTTTTGCCCTCATTTATTATTTGCATAGGTATTATCGTTTCAAATCCCCTCGTCTTCTTTCAAAACTTCTCATGTCCAACAAAGGAGGATGCAGTCATCGATATCCAGGCATTGGTGATATTGCCTACGTTAAAGAGCTCATGACTGGAAAGATAGCGACAAGAAAATTCAAATGTTCGCGATTTGGGGCTGATATTTCAACAGGACTTGGATGGGTGTGCAACCATCATTTTATATTTTGTTTAGTTTTATTATTTTAATCACACTGGTTAACTCTAGCCACCCAAACGTGCTTTTTCAGACTAAAATGATGAAGAGAAAACTTTTTTTTAGGATAAAATGAACAAATGTTTTAAAAAAGCCTGCCCAAAAGGATTTGCCTATCTTTTTAACTTTCATATCGACAGATCAGGTTCATACAGGTGATTATTCAAACCATTACTACGGCCAAACCAAACTTGATTATCAACTCTTTTGTTGCCATGCTTTCTTATGCAGTTACAGTGTTGTGTCGGAACGTTCCGGGATTCAAGACAATCAAACATCATTTATTGGTTGTGATCACGGAAAGGTACATACGATAAAAGAATTTTCCAACAAGTCGAAGAATATTTACAACATTTCAAAATTGAAATATTTTCCATTTCAGTGTTGTGCTTGTTTTGGTCCTGACAGTAAAAAGGATTACTGTGCTCCAAGATGTCAAGCAATCAATGGTGGAACGGTTTTGAAGGAAGAGGACAATATCACAGTTTGGTTTTGGATTCGTTCATCTTTACCAAAACGTGTTTGGAAAAAATGCATGGAGTTTAAAGAAACGAATGATGCTGGAAAACTGGAAATATGGCATGTGGAAGATGGAGTAAGAAAAAAGGTGAGATCAGTGAATTTAAGAATGCAAAGTTGTGGATTAGTTGTTTCACCCTCCTCTTCTCAGTTTGTGTTAAAATGTGTCTTATCTAGGAGCATATCAATGCGAATTTTACAGATTCTTTAAAATTATCACAAATTATCATTCGTTACGTTGGTCAAATTTTTACAACCAATGATCGCGATGAACATTCTTTTTTCATTGCCACTATTTGCCGGTTTATTAAAATAAAAGTATTTGTATACACGGTTATTTCTATTGCTTATATAGGGTCTGTGTTCTCATCTTGAAGATGTTACTATTAATGATGGGGTAAATGAATAGCTAATAGCTAGAACTTGATTTTTTCGGTCGTTCTTGCATGTGACTTTTTGTTCGTTCACATGTGGTTTTCAAAAAATTATACAGGTTGCAGTGGTCAAAGATTCTCGATCAATGAATAAACTGCCAAAGATTGAAGGCCTCCTCTCATACCGATCTGATGACAGCAAGTTGTATCTCAAGGAAAAAACTAAATGGGGCGCTTTGGCGACTCGGAAAGATGTAAGTTTAGTTGAAAAATATAATGATGCTTATATGCTAGCTCTAAACGAGATTTAATTCATTTATATATTGTTACACGTTACTGACGTTAGGTATTCCTAACTCGGATTTTGTTATGCCTAACTGCGTATTATACAGCGACTGCCTAGCAGCGTGAGGTCTGTAGATAATAAAGCTAATCGCAGCAGCCAAACATTGTGTTTATTTGTTAACAAAATACGAAAATAAAGTCTCTAACGCTTTAAATATACAATCTGAGTTCATTGATTTCTGCATTGAAGATCCAAGCTTCGTTGGATCATGATTTTGAATCTGGATCATGAATAAACCATGATTTTCAAGGGTTATTGCAAATAAACCACGATTTTCATGGGTTTTTGCGAATAAATTATGATTCCCATGATCTGTCGCCAGGCAACAAGAAACCACGTGATCGATTTTGACCAATCGCGTGAGTAGATTTAGGCCAATGCACGAAGATTGTACATTAAAACTGAATATTGCACCATACTCTTTCTTAGTATTATTGTATGTTTGCATGGTGACAATCGATAAGTAATTTAGCTTGTAGGTACACCACGTAAGTATTTAACACTGCAAAGCTTTCGGTCCGTTAACCCGGGCCTTCATCAGTGCAATTACCTGAATACAATTACATTACCTGAATTACAATTAGCTTGTAAGTACGTGGTGTACCTACAAGCTAAATTACTTATACTCTTTCTTGTTGAAAGATTAAAGATGTTATTGGTAGACTTGAAAGTTTCAAACAGGTGATTAACAACAAAGTTACAAACGTGACGAAAGGTAAGATATTTACGGAATCTTTTTGTTAATACTTATTACCTATTGTATATATTCTAATGTGTATTCTATTGCCTTCGAAGATGTAAAAGTGCTGACTCATGGATCATGCAAACAAATATTGAGTCAAAGGTATATTAACTAAATATAGGTGCTTGCTTTGTGTCCATTTTAATGAATCGACAAAATTTTAAATGAAGTTAAGCATGGTATGAAAAATTATCTAGCCAAAGTTCAGTTGTCATTTACTGCAATGTACGACAAACTCATCATGCGAAAACCAAATTCAATAATTGTTTTAGCATCGTCTACTGTCAAATGTCGTCAGTCTCAGGCTGTTCTGGTGGAGGATGGACGATGGTGATGAAAATTGATGGGAGCCAGGTAAGAATAACCCTAGATTATGCGGTGTTATACAGCTTATACTATCACAGGCTTAAGGGAAGGCTGAAGGATAATTTTAATTCGTATCTATTTTAGAGCACTTTCAGATACAGCTCCGGTTATTGGTCGAACAAGAACACTTTCAATGACAATGACTATGGAAGAAACGGAGGTTTTGACAACAGACAATATAAAGGATCAACATATTGGAAAACTTCATTCAATGAAATTTGTGTCGCGATGAAATATGGTGGTCAACTCAGAGCCTTCTCTTTCTGGTACCCGGCAAGGTCCTTGTATCATCTGATCGCAGATGGTAATTATCGTCAAACTCACATTAGTCGCTCACAATGGAAGCAGCTCATTGTTGCGTCATCTTTACAGCACCATTGCAATAAGCAAGGATTTAATGTGTATTTTGACCCAAGTTATGTAAGAGTTCGGTTGGGCTTAGCCGCAAATAACCAAAATGAGTGTAATTCCCCCGACTCTTTCATCGGCCTTGGAGGTGATGGTGTTTTTCCATATTGTGGTTTCAACCAAGCTCCTCTTAACACTGCTGGTAACGTTGGTAAATGTGGAGCAGACAACGGAGATAAGAACGCTAGAGCAATGGGATACATTCTCGTCCGTTGATCAAAACTTTTTCCATTTGATTTTTACTTAGAAGCTTATAGTATAAGGAACGAGTATTCATATTATGATTAGTATACAGCAATGTTGTTTTTCCTGGTACAGTTGGACTTGATTATTGGTTTGAAAAAAAAACATTATGTAGTAGCATGTATGCATGTAAAAATAAACTTTTACAGATGCCTCTTCGTCTTAAATGATTCTTAACCATGCCTACTTGTCAGTGACGCCAGAATTGTTTTGATCACTGACGATGGAAAAAGTTAATCTCTATCGATCATCTTTACAGCATCATTGGGGAGAGATTTACAACGCTCAGGGGCGCTGGCAAGGAAGAAGACAAGGTAAATTGAGAGTGCATACAATTTCAACAGGGCTCACGCACGCCAATGAAATCTTTGCACAGATTAAATCCAGCGCTCATATCAACTTACACCTCGACAATAGAAATTCGATATCCTGGTTTTACAATCCCGACATTTGAGGAAATATTTCGCAAGGGTAAAAAGCCACATTTTAAAGCAGCTTAAAATGAGATTGTTGGCGACAGTTTTAGTGTTAACCTTCTTTACAACGCTTCATGCTGTGACTGTAAGTACTAAAGTATAAACAAAGTATTTTATAATCATTCTAAGACGATATCGGATGTGAGACGTCGATATTGCGTCATTTGTTGAAACTGAAAGACCTAAAAACAATCATTCTGTGTTTGAAATATCGCAGCTCGTAGGTTCCACTTGGTTGTGCTGATTATGTTCAGCGTTATTGGAGTATATACTGTTTTATATTTTGAAAAAACGTATTTTCTATTTTTTTATTGTCAATAACGTTTATAGGTCAACCTAGAGAGGGGGGATGATCACGCGACTCTTCATAAAACTATAGGCTAAGAATCCAAACAGAAAAGATCTAAAATTTGAGTCGATACGATAGAGAAAACTTCATTTTAGTTGTCTTAACCTAGCTAGGATCTATTCGCAATCATGATCAAGCAGAGTTGCGCGCAAATGATTTAACATCTTGATAATTGCTTTCATTCGCCTGTTTTCATCATCTGTGATTGGCAGGTGCCCGGTAGTTGTTGGAAAGGGCTCTTTAGAACAACAGACGACTGCAGTACTAATATAGTTGCATGGCAGTGTAATAATTACAATTACAAAAATATTCTTTCAACACTGAAAATGTCTTTCAACACTACCAACCGACAATTGTGACCTTTTCCCTTTTCTAGTCTTAAAGTTTAGTTATAGGAAACAACGACAATAAAAGATCTTAATACCCCAAGGTAGTCCACGAACATGCCTTTCGAAAATGTTACAACTTATAATAATTGTAACAACATAGTTCAGTCACTGTTCATCAACTGTGAATCACGTGTGCTTTATCAATGTACTTCCATCTTATTGCAGCAACAACAGGTCAACCCATACGATCCTGGCATTTGCACCGCGGATAAGCGAGGAAAGTTTGTGGTTGTGAAAGATTACAATGATGATGATAAAATTGTGGCCTGTGTTCAACACGATGGAAAATATCAGTGGGACATGATCAATGGTATTTATTTTGATATTATGATGGGAAACTTCAAGTCTTCGTACCAGAACTGTATTGTATTTAAAGCTGATTTCATACTACCATTGATGTGAATTACGCTGTATCACCATGCTGTTATTGTTCAGGTCATTCGTATGGCAACTATTTTGATCCAGCGAAAGATTGTTCTGGTGTTGTGGACAATGTTCCAAAAGCGAAAAGCGGACCTTACTGGATCCAGACACAAAATGGTCCACAAAAGGTAAGGTTTTTTTCTTTTAACGACATGCATTCAAAGGAGAAGGTGAGAAAATTCCAAAATTATTTAATTGGTTTAGTCATGGTGCGATGTTGAAACGGACAGAGGTGGGTTCTCGTTGATTGGCGTCAAAGACACACCAAAAACCTGGGCTATTCCTTCCAACGCTTCTTTCATCCACCCCCACGGTGAGCCAATGTGGTCAAGTGCATTTGGTGAGCAAGAAATCTTAGATTTCCGAGTTCAGATTTCCACGTCTAAAGATTTTCGCGATACACGAGCACACTGGTACGTAAATTGGTGTTGTTAAAAATGCTGTTCTTTGTCTCGTTTTCTCCAGCGGATATAGTTTTTTTCACATGGCTCACGCTACTTTGTTCCTTGTATTTCCAAGGTATTATCGTTTCAAATCCCCTCGTATTCTATCGGAGCTGCTTATGTCCAACAAAGGAGGATGCAGTCATCAATACCCAGGCATTGGTGATGTCGCCTTCGTTAAAGATCTTATGACTGGAGAGATTGCGACAAGAAATTTTAAATGTTCGCGATTCGGAGGTGCAATTGCGCCAGGACTAGGATGGGTATTAAATTCTATATATATCCTAGTCGAGTTTGGTAGTCCTTTTTAGTAAAGATATTAGGACCAAACTCAAAACGTTGCCCAAAATGAAAATTAACCTTTTATTTTTTTTTATTTCAACAGAGTAAAATGAACCAATGTTTTAAACAAGTTTGTACGGATGGTTTTGCCTATATTTTTAATACTCGTATTGATACATCAGGCTCGTACAGGTATGAAATGAAGTTGCCCTATGCTTCTGGCGCTCCTGGAGTCAGGAACCATTACACAATATAATGCTAATATAAAGAGTTTCTTCATTCTTTATTCCATGATATAGCTACAGTGTTGTGTCTGAACGTTCCGGTATTCAGGACAAGCAAACATCGTTTATTGGCTGTGATCACGGAGAGGTATGATACGATAAAAGAGTCTCTAACAAGTGGAAGATTAACAGTATTTCAAAATTGAAATATTTTCCATTTTAGTGTTGTGCTTGTTTTGGCGCTGACAGTAAGAAGGATTACTGTGCTCCAAGATGTCAAGCAATCAATGGTGGAACGGTTTTGAAGAAAGAGGACAATATCACAGTTTGGTTTTGGATCCGGTCATCTTTACCAAAACGTGTTTGGAAAAGATGCATGGAGTTTAAAGAAAGAAACAATGCAGGGAAATTGGAAACATGGCGTGTGGAAGACGGATTACGAAGAAAGGTATAAGGTTTTTCCTCCTAGTTTGTAGTGAATGTGGTTTGAATAATTTGGGTTTGAATAATTTAGAAATTCAGTTTTACAGATCACAAGTTTGTACTTTACCGAACGTGAATCAAGATTTTTCTCTCTGCAGGGTCCTTGTTCGTATGGGGAAGATGTCACAATCAATGATGGGGTAAATTGATGCATGGTTACAGTATGAATATTATTTGACTCTTCTGTTATTTTAGGAATTTCAAATATTAATATATTTAGTGAAAAGTTATTGTTGTACACATAGGCTGGTTCAGTAGTTCATGCAGTTTTGGGTTTTGCATCATTTTATGCAGGTTGCAGTGGTTCCTGATGCTCAATCAATGAACAAACTCCCAAAGATAGAAGGTCTTCTCTCCTATAGCTCTGACGACAGAAAAATTTACCTCAAAGAAAGATCTCAGTGGAAAGCTTTGGCAACTTGGCAGGATGTAAGATTTGTTGAAACATTACAATGCAATTTATATTTGAACACACAAATATACGGATAATTATATCTAGCTTGAGTAGACAGATATCCTTTCACTCCTGCCTGAGGAGGGGGGATTATATTGGATATGATTCATATTTAATCTTATACTGTATCAATGGGATAACGGTACCCCTAAAAATTCTGGCATAACATATAATTTTACATCATTCTCTTTCTCGTTGAAAGATCCTAGATGTTGCTGGTAGACTTACAAATTTCAAGCAAGAGTTCAAAAACGAATTAACAAACGTGAAAAAAGGTTGAATTTATTTTACATCGAAGAATTATTGGATAACTAATGTCAGGTGCCGGTTGTTCGTCCAGCTTTAGTATAGAAGAGTGCCATAAGCCGTTCATCTTTTCCATATTTTTATCATTTATTCAAAAACAAAACACTCTTTTTTTTCCCTTTAAAGATGTGAAGGTGCTGACTCATGGATCATGCAAAAAAATATTGATGGGACAAGGGTAGAGTAACTGAATGTCGCAGTTCTTGCTTGGGTTCAATCGTGTGTCATCTTTGACTTAACATTTTGAAGATTTCGATCACGTCTTACGCCTGTATTCTAAAAGCTCACTCACTCTCAAACTCATTGAGTGGGAGATCTTAATCTTCTTAGAACGTTTCCATGGCGGTATTTCCAGCCGAATAGGGGCTTGATTCTCAGTGATTTACCTTATATCTTTCCATCTATTTAGAGAAAACTTTCTCATTCATCAGCATTAACAAAATTTCTATGTCACACTCAATGAGTATGAGTGTGAGTGAGCTTTTTGAATACAGGCCTTAGTGTGGACATTTACTGTACTGTATATAACTTACGATCATTTCAGCATTTTGTATTTTCACCTTTTAGGAACCCTAGTAGTGGTGTTTACAAAATCAGTGTTGGACGAAATCAAGTGACGAACGTTTATTGTCAGATGTCGTCAGTCTCAGGTTGTTCTGGTGGAGGATGGACGATGGTGATGAAAATTGATGGGAGCCAGGTAAGAAAGGGCCTGTTCAAACTTACGGCTCGCTATAAGATTGATCGATCTGAGATCGATCTTGTTTGTAACAGAGGTTATTTCGCAGACGTTATGCGAAGCAGCTTAGTTTTCCTCACAAGTCGGGTGGGTGTACGTCATTTGTAAGGTAGGTCTTAATTGACCTTTCATATTCCATCTCAATATATACATGTGACATCAATCTTGTTATTCTATGATATTGTAAACTAGTATAAAACCTTGAAACCTAGTTAACCACTTAGTAGTAATGAAAATTCCTTCGACTTGGACCGATCTGAAAGTTTTACGATTATTCAGCAAAGTTGCTGATACAGTTCTGACTTTTGATCTAAGGTTTAATGGGGGGGGGGGGGAGAATGGAGGATAATTTTACGTATATATTTTAGAGTACTTTCGGATACAGTTCCAGTTATTGGTCGAACAAGAACACTTACAATGACAATGACTATGGAAGAAACGGAGGTTTTGACGGCCGAGAATATAAAGGAGCAGCATATTGGAAAATTTCATTCAATGAAATTTGTGTCGCGATGAAACATAGTGGTCAACTCAGAGCCTTTTCTTTCTCACATCCAGCATCGTCCTTGTATGATCTGATCGCAGACGGCAGGTATATAAAAACTAACATCGGCCGCTCACAAATGGAAACAGCTCATCCATGGATCATCTTTGCAGCCTAATTGCAACAGAGAGGGACTCAACGTGATAGTTGGCAACTATGGTGTAAAGATTCGGTTGGGCATCATTGCGAACCAGGAAAATGACTGCAACTCCCCTGACTCTTTCCTAGGCCTGGGTGCCAATGAACGGGTTAGGTTTTGTGGCTTCAGTGGACCTTTTCGTAACACCGCTGGCAATGTTGCTACGTGTTCCCCAGACAACGGAGACAAGAACTTGAAAGCAATGGGATACATACTGGTCCGTTAACTAAACAAACACATCTTGGATTTGATCACTACCTTTGGTCAATGGCAAATATAACTGATTTTTTATCATAACTAGTAGAGCAGTAAAAGCTTGTTATTTTCGCACTGAATTTAGCATTTTGATTCCTTCGTTTTTCTAAATCTTTAGTTCATTTAGCCTGGGACATTGTTTTCATCTGCACGCATAATCTCATTTTGTAACTTGAGGATAAAACTGAAATATATATTAATACCATGTTTATCTTGCCCCAAAAATATTGACCTAGAAATAAACAACCTTTTGCAAACAATGGACATTTGCGACCTTTTCTGACTTTTACTTAATATTTACCATGCGAAGTTCACCGTGCGAAATTGTTAGGGGGGGACGCACGCGAATAATTTAAGCCAAATTATTCGACTCATGAGAACAAATTGCCCGGCTTATCAATGATTTCAACAAAAAATGTTCAGAATTTCGGTGGAATTTGATAACAATTTTCCAACTTATTTTCTATTTGGTTTTTCATTTAAATATCTTAATTTTGTTTTTCGGCTTTTGCGTTGTACGTGCCAGGGCGTTTGCCAGGAAAGTTTTACGGTAGCCAGGATTTTAGGACATGCGCCAGAGTGCGGTTTTAGGCACTGACAGGGTCGACCTGATGGTGCTGAAACACCCAACTGATACGTGAGATTGTTCTGCTTAGATCCCAATGACACCCAAATTTCCATGAAAAGAGATAATAATTACGCAAAATTAAAAAAATCACGGTTCATTAGACCATACGAGCAAGATCAAATTCCCAGAATTGAAGCTTCTATGATTTACCAAATATTTGTCTGTTGATGAACGACCAGATATCATAGACGTAAAATAAAACTAGCAACTAACTGGCAGTGAAGGAAGACACAAAGTTTGCTGTAAATGGATTATACGATAAGAGTTAACGTTTTGAATTCGTCGAAGAAGACAATTGAACTCGTTTATTGTCTCAATCAAGAGCTATCAATGAACTCTATCTCTTCCACACAACATTTTATGAAAGATATATCCTGTTTACGTGCAAATGAAGTACATATAATAATTTTTTTTAAGTTAAGGGCAATTCCAATTCATTACATTGCGGTTCAATCAATCATTCTTTTCCGTTTGAGAATGCAAAATGATAAATTGAATGCATACAATTTCAACAGGGCTCACGTACGCCAATGAAATTTCGGCACAGATTAAACCCAGCGCCCATATCAACTTACACCTCGACAATACAAATTCTATATCCTGGTTCAACAATCCCGTCATTTAAAGAAATATTTAGCAAGGGTAAGAAGCCACATTCCGATCCGAAACATCTTAAAATGAAAATGTTGGCGACAGTTTTAGTGTTAACCCTCTTTACAACGCTTGATGCTGTGAGTGTAAGTATACTAAAGTATAAACAAGATATTTCATAATCATTCGAAGACGATATCGGAAGAGAGACTGCTAAAAATAAAAAAATAAAACAATCATTCTGTGTTTGAAATAACAAAGCTCGTAGGTTCCACTGGGCTGTGCTGATTATGCTCAGCGTTATTGGAGTATATACTGTTTTATATTTCGCAAAACGTATTTTTTATTTTTTATCGTCTATCATGTTTATAGGTCAACCTGGTGGGGGGATGACCACGCGACGCTTCATAAAGCTGGGCTAAGAATCGAAGCAGAAAATATCTAAAATTTGAGTCGATGCGATAGAGAGCACTAAATTTTAGTTGCCATAACTTAGCGAGGATCTATTCGCAATCATGATCAAGCAGAGAGTATACAGCAATGGTGTCTCTCCTGGTATAATTAAACATCATGATTATTGATTTGAAAAAAAATTCGTCTGGTAGCTTGTATATGTTTGTAATTTTTACAGATGCTTCTTCGTGTTATATATGATTCCTAACCATGCGTACTTGTCAGTGATCATTGTTAATTGTGCAGATTGCCAGAACTGCTTTGATCACTGACGATGGAAACAGTTCATCTCTATCGATCATCTTTACAGCGTCATTGGGGAGACGCTCATGGGCTCCGGCAAGGAAGAAGACAAGGTGAAGCATGACTGTATACGATGCGGCGAAAATTAAGCAATAATTTTTTGAATATCTTGCAAGCAAGTCATTTCCTGGGCTTTTTTTAACTTTAGATTAGACAATTTATGCACTCTGGAGGTGGTCATTTAAATATTTTAAATATTTACTAAGCGATAAATCCAGCTTTCTTTGATAAACCGCTGATGTATGTCACATATAACCCGTGAAGAGCATGAAAAACTCCATCCCATGAGTTGGGATTTTATTCACACTTTAGTGTATAAGAATAAAGTTTTGAGGCAGTAAAATCATGTGAACATTCTTTCTGAAGACACAGTACATAATCTCTTTTTTGCGTTCCTATTGTAATTAAAAATCTATTAATTCAATTTGGTGGGTTGCAACATGCTTATTATATCTTCCTTGCTACATTAAATTCCCACCAGGAAACGGATGCTCTGCCAACTTGAAAGACGTATCATATTGTGTTGTCTGCTGAAGGCTGAAGCTAAAAAGTCACCTTCACTTTAATTCACTTTAATTTCTTGTATTTTATTTACAAAAACGCTCATTGAATAAAAACGATGCAAATGCACATTGCACTATCAAAAAAGTAACAAAATATACCATATCTGGCAAATGCGTTTTGATGTGATAAGTGCACTATTGTTTACTTAACACGAATAATCTTGCTTCAGCAAAACAAATTCGTCAAACATCTATTGTGATGCATGGATATAATTGATCTCTGAGTAATTTTTCTCATTTGCGGTGAGTTTTAGCAAGAGTGAAGACTAACTTTTTTCAATTAAAGAAGTTGAAATAAAAATGAGATTGCTGTCAGCTGTGCTTGCCACAACTTTTGTGACAAGCCTTTGTGCTGTAAGTACATATAAGTTTATTACTTCACTAATTTCTACACGCGTATAAAATACGTTAATCATTGTATCGAATCAATTTATTATATTTATTCCCTGATCATTAGTCAAACAGATTTTCATGGCTGAAACGTTCAAACATGCATGGACAAATACTTTTATGGCTTGTGCTTAGTCGATTTTATGTGCCCGTAATCTTATGTAAAGTTTCCTTGGTGCTTCTCATTCCTGCAATTGAAGGGTTTAGACGCTTATATAACTATATGCTAGATTGCTTGCATGTGGGATTATTATTTTAGCGAAGCAAAGCGTCGCACCTTTGTGTTTCAGGCTTGCATGCGTCAAACCTGCAAGTCATAGTGATACCGCGTAACTTCGGGTCATTTATATACAAGTAGAACTGTAGAAGTGCATCGACTATGCCTGAAACAACTTATTATTTAGTTCAGCTGATACATCTAATTAATTAATCATTTTAGAGCTGATAGAGTGACCTGGAAGTATGAAAAAGTTATTTTTCGCTAGAGTCAAAATATACGACACGGTATCAACAAGAGATGATTTTTCATAGGGTCATCGCTTCATTGTAAAATTTTTGAGCATTGAGCCTGCGAGACTTTCCTATATGATTGCGGATGCATCAATGAACACAATCTAGAACAATATAAACTGATAGAAATAAAAAGGGCAAACTAGCTCGCCTTTTTGCATGGTACTTTATTAGTGATAATTAAATACGTGTATTCCAGTTCGAAAATAAAGTTCTAAATTGATTTACCTTTCCTTTTGAAGTCACTGGGATATATTAGTGTAATCGCTACAGACACGCAGACATCTTGCATTAAAAATTTAAGGCAATGTACTAACGATTAGCGACTTTCCAAAATGCAGGTATATAGGTCCTCTATGGACAGTAGACACGTCCAAATTGCGAAAACGGATTTGAAGAACAGTCTTTCTTATAATCTTTCTATTTTTGTAATTCGTCTTTGTTCGCCAGAATATCATAACAAGCTTAATTTCAATTTTCAAGCTAATTTAAATATTTGCAAATCTTAGGAATTTCTGCAGCATAGAACATAGCATGCAGGCTTATACACTGCGGAACAGGAACGAATATACAAAGAATGCGGGGGCACGGAAACCCTAAAGCCTAGTTAGACATAAGTCTGGTTTCCATTTAGTTGATATGATCGTGAACAAGTCATTTCACTGATGAGAAATAGTCCGAATGTAAATTTGTCTTTATTTCTGTATTGAAATCGGTCATTGTTGACAGTAAAATACATAGAAATATTCTATCACATCAGCCACCTTGACATGCTCATTATGGTAAAGGTTATTTTGTAACTCTCGACTTAAGTAAAACAGGAATTGTGTTAAAGTATTAACTAAGTAAGTAAATTAGCTTGTAGGTACACCACGTAAGTATTTAATCCACTGCAAAGCTTTCGGTCCGTTAATCTGGGCCTTCATCAGTGCAAAATGAATTAATTTGTGGTGTACCTACAAGCTAATTTGCTTATTTGATGTCACCATGCAAAATTACAAGAATATTAAGTAATAACTATCAACACAACAGGTCAACCCATACGATCCTGGCATTTGCACCGAAGAAAAACGAGGAAAGTTTGTGGTTGTGAAAGATTACAATGATGATGATAAAATCCTGGGTTGTGTTCAACACGATGGAAAATATCAATGGGAAATGATCAATGGTATTTATATATTTTATATAACATATGCTTAGATGGAAAACAACAGTGTTAACTGGATCACTACGCTATTATTGTTCAGGTCACTCGTATGGAAACTATTTTGATCCGGCAAAAGATTGTTCTGGTGTTGTTGACAATGTTCCAAAAGCGAAAAGTGGAGTTTACTGGATCCAGACACGAAATGGTCCGCAAAAGGTAGGGTTAATAAAGTGGCTACTTTATTTTTGTTTTTTAGACATCCACATTGATATCTGGCACGAAAAAGTTAGAAAACTGGTAAACAAACGATTCATTTTAGTCATGGTGCGATGTTGAAACAGACGGTGGAGGATTCTTGTTGATTGGCGTCAAAGACACACCAGAAACCTGGGCTATTCCTTCCAACGCTTCTTTCATCCACCCCCACGGTAAGCCAAGGTGGTCAAGTGCATTTGGTGAGCAAGAAATCTTGGATTTCCGAGTTCAAATTTCCATGTCAGAAGATTTTCGCGATACACGAGCACACTGGTATGCAAATCGTTGTTATTTCAAATGCTGTGGTTGTCGTCTCGTTTTTCGTTGAGCCACCCTGATGCTGTTCTAAATACCCTACAACGGTTCATGTTTCAAAGTGACCAAGCTTTCTCCCTATATTTTCAAGGTATTATCGTTTCAAATCCCCTCGCAAGCTCTCGAAATTGCTAATGTCCAACAAAGGAGGATGCAGTCATCGATACCCAGGAATTGGTAAAGTTGCCTTCGTTAAAGACCTCGTGACTGGAAAGATACAAACCAAAAACTTCAAATGTTCGCGATTTGGAGCTTCAATTGCGCCTGGACTAGGATGGGTATGTAAAATTACTGATATTCAACAATGCCAAAAATGCAACCAATGTAGGTCTTTCGACAAGAAAAGAAACTAACCTCATTTTGTCCAACAGAATAAGATGAACCGATGTTTTAAGCAACCTTGTCAAAAGGGTTTTGCCTATATTTCTAATTATCATGTCGATACATCAGGCTCGTACAGGTGATTATATATAATTATGTTCGTCTTGTTTGATTTATTCAGCGGTTTTTTGAGCCTTCCCAAAGTTAGGCTCCATGACGCAATGCTATAAGTCTATAGAACTTCTTCACTTTTCTTACATGATATAGCTACAGTGTTGTGTCTGAACGTTCCGGAATTCGGGACAATCAAACATCATTCATTGGCTGCGATCACGGAGAGGTATATACGATAGGGCTCTAACAATATACAGTGTTGCAAAACGGAAATATTTTCCATTTTAGTGTTGTGCTTGTTTTGGTCCTGACAGTAAGAAGGATTACTGCGCTCCAAGATGTCAAGCAATCAATGGCGGGACGGTTTTGAAGAAAGAGGACAATATCACAGTTTGGTTTTGGATTCGTTCCTCTTTACCAAAACGTGTTTGGAAAAAATGCATGGAGTTTAAAGAAAGAAACAATGCAGGGAAATTGGAAACATGGCGTGTGGAAGACGGAGTAAAGAGAGAGGTATGATCTGTGACTTGAGGAATTCAAACGAAACACAATAACAGCTTTTCCATATATGACGTTATTCACAATAGCTCTCCATCCAGTTAACGTGGTGTTTCATTGCTTACTTGTAGGGCCCGTGTTCGCATGACGATGATGTCACAATCAACGATGGGGTAAATTATTTTTTACAGTATAAATGTAATTTAATTTTCCCTTGTCAACTAAGGAATCCAAAACCCTGTACTTGGGAGTCTGAAATCATGCATCATTCCACCCTGACCGGAGTTTTTAGACAAGTGAGTTTATGCATGTCATGTTCTGGATTTTTTTGCAGGTTGCTGTGGTTCCTGATGATCGAGCAATGAAAGAACTTCCAAAGATAGAAGGTCTTCTCTCCTATAGCTCTGATGACCAAAAGATTTACCTCAAAGAAAGATCTCGGTGGAAAGCTTTGGCAACTCAGCAAAAGGTAAGATTTGTTGAAAAATAACAAAGCAATTTATATTTAAACACGCAATTACGCGGATATCGGTTTGATTCATATTTAATCTTACACTATATTGGCTACGACGGCTGATCAATGGGCTAACGGTACCAATAAAAATGCTGGCATAACATATATTTTTACATCATTCTCTTTCTCGTTGAAAGATCCTAGATGTTGCTGGTAGACTTACAAATTTCAAGCAAGAGTTCAAAAACGAATTAACAAACGTGAAAAAAGGTTGAATTTATTTTACTTCGAAGAATTATTGGATAACTAATGTCTGGTGCCGGTTGTTCGTCCAGCTTTAGTACAAGAGTGCAATAAGCCGTTCATCTTTTCCATATTTTTATCATTTATTCAAAAACGAAGCACTCTTTTTTTTCCTTTTGAAGATGTGAAGGTGCTGACTCATGGATCGTGCAAAAAAATATTGATGGGACAAGGGTAGAGTAACTGAATGTCGCAGTTCTTGCTTGGGTTCAATCGTGTGTCATCTTTGCCTTAACATTTCTGAAGATTTCGATCACGTCTTAGTGTGGGCATTTACTGTACTTTATATAACTTACGATCATTTCAGCATTTTGCATTTTCACATTTTAGGAACCCTAGTAATGGTGTTTACCAAATCAGCGTTGGACGAAATCAAGTGATGAACGTCTATTGTCAGATGTCGTCAGTCTCAGGTTGCTCTGGTGGAGGATGGACGATGGTTATGAAAATCGATGGGAGCAAGGTAAGAATGGGCCTGTTCAAACTTAGCTCACTATAAGATTGATCGATCTGAGATCGATCTTGTTTGTAACAGAGGTCAATTTCGCAGACGTTATATGCGAAGCAGCTTAGTTTTCCTCACAACTCGGGTGGGTGTACGTCATTTGTAAAGTAGGTCTTAATTACGAACTATTGCCCTGCAAGCGGTGTCTGAAACAATGGGTTCACCTTTCATATTCCATCTCAATATATACATATGACATCAATCTTGTTATTCTATGATTTTGTAAAGTAGTAAACCCTTGAAACCTAGTTAACCACTTAGTAGTAATAAAAATTCCTTCGACTTGGACCGTATCTGAAAGTCTTACGATTGTTCAGATTTTTGGTCTAGGTTTAATGCGGGGGGGGGGGATGGAGGATAATTTTACATATATATATTTTAGAGTACTTTCGGATACAGTTCCAGTTATTGGTCGAACAAGAACACTTACAATGACAATTACAATGGAAGAAACGGAGGTTTTGACGGCCGAGAGTATAAAGGATCAACATATTGGAAAACTTCATTCAAAGAAATTTGTGTCGCGATGAAATATGGTGGTCAACTCAGAGCCCTCTCTTTCTCGTATCCAGCATCGTCCTTGTATGATCTGTTCGCTGACGGTAATTATCGACATATTCACATCGGTCGCTCTCAATGGAAACAGCTCATCCATGGATCATCTTTACAGCGTAATTGCAATAAAGAAGGATTCAACGTGATACATGGCAACTATGGTGTAAAGATTCGGTTAGGAATCATTGCGAACCAGGAAAATGACTGCGACACCCCTGACTCTTTCCTAGGCCTGGGTGCCAATGAACGGGTTAGGTTTTGTGGCTTCCGTGAACCTTTTCGTAACGCCGCTGGCAATGTTGCTACGTGTTCATCAGACAACGGAAACAAGAATATTAAAGGAATGGGATACATACTGGTCCGTTAACTAAACAAACTTAAGCTCGGATTTGATTAATAACTTTGGTCAATGGCAAATATAACTGATTTTTTATCATAACTATAGTATAGCAGTAAAAGCTTGTTATTCTCGCACTGAATTTAGCATTTTGATTCCTTTTTTTTTCTAAATCTTTAGTTCATATAGCCTGGGACATCGTTTTCACCTGCACGCATAATCTCATCTTGTAACTTGAGGATAAAACTGAAATATTAATACCATGTTTATCTTGCCCCAAAAATATTGACTTGGAAATAAACAACCTTTTGCAAACAATGGACATTTGTGACGTTTTCTGACTTTTACTTAATATTTACCATCCGAAATTCACTGTGCGAAATTGTCAGGGGGGGCACGCGAATAATTTAAGCCAAATTATTCGACTCATGAGAACAAACTGCCCGGCTTATCAATGATTTCAACAAAAAATGTTCAGAATTTCGGTGGAATTTGATAACAATTTTCCAACTTATTTTTTATTTGGTTTTTCATTTAAATATTTTAATTTTGTTTTTCGGCTTTTGCATTGTGCCAGGGCGTTTGCCAGGAAGGTTTTACGGTAACCAGGATTTTAGAAATTAGGACATGCGCCAGAGTGCGATTTCAGGCACTGACAGGGTCGACCTGATGGTGCTGAAACACCCAACTGATACGTGATATTGTTCTGCTTAGATCCCAATGACACTCAAATTTCCATGAAAAGAGATAATAATTACGCAAAATTAAAAAAATCACGGTTCATAAGACCATACGAGCAAGATCAAATTCCCAGAATTGAAGCTGCTATGATTTACCAAATATTTGTCTGTTGATGAACGACCAGATATCATAGACGTAAAATAAAACTAGCAACTAACTGGCAGTAAAAGAAGATACAAAGTTTGCTGTAGATGGATTATACGATAAGAGTTAACGTTTTGAATTCGTCGAAGAAGACAATTGAACTCGTTTATTGTCTCGATCAAGAGCAATCAATGAAGTCTATCACTCCAACACAACATTTATGAAAGATATATCCTGTTGACGAGCAAATGTCGTACATATAATATTTTTTTTAAGTTAAGGGCAATTCCAATTCATTACATTGCGGTTGATTCAATTATTCTTTTCTGTTCGAGAATGCAAAATGATAAATTGAGTGGATACAATTTCAACAGGGCTCACGCACGCCAATGAAATTTTTGCACAGATTAAATCCAGCGCCCATATCAACTTACACCTCGACAATAGAAATTCGATATCCTGATTTTACAATCCCGTCATTTGAGGAAATATTTAGCAAGGGTAAGAAGCCACATTCCGATCCGAAGCAGCTTAAAATGAAAATGTTGGCGACAGTTTTAGTGTTAACCCTCTTTACAACGCTTGATGCTGTGAATGTAAGTATACTAAAGTATAAACAAGATATTTCATAATCATTCGAAGACGATATCGGAAGTAAGACTAGTAACGTATTTCTATTTTTTATTGTCTGTCATGTTTATAGGTCAACCTAGGGAGGGGGATGATCACGCGACGCTTCATAAAACTAGGCTAAGAATCGAAACAGAAAATATCTAAAATTTGAGTCGATACGATAGAGAGCGCTAAACTTTAGTTGCCATAACTTAGCTAGGATCTATTCGCAATCATGATAAAGCAGAATAGATCGAAATATATCAATAATCGATCCAGTAACATGCGCGCAAATGATTTAACATCTTGATAATTGCTTTCATTTGCCTGTTTTCATCATCTGTGATGAGCAGGCAGTGGTTTAAACCTCCTAAAGGGCTCTTTAGAAGAACAGACGACTGAAGTGCTAGCATAGTTGCATGGCAGTGTAATTAATTACAATTACAAAAAGATTCGTACTCAACACTGAAAAAGTCTTTCAACACCACAAACCGACAATTGTGACCTTTTCGCCTTTCTCGTTTTAAGTTTAGCAATAGGAAACGACGAACATGCCTTTCGAAAATGTTACAACTTATAATAATTGTAACAACATAGTTCAGTCAGTGTTCATCAACTGCGAATCACATGTGCTTTATCAATGTACTTTCATCTTATTGTAGCAACAACAGGTCAACCCATACGATCCTGGCATTTGCACTGCAGATAAGCGAGGAAAATTTGTGGTTGTGAAAGATTACAATGATGATGATAATATTGTGGCCTGTGTTCAACACGATGGAAAATATCAATGGGACATGATCAATGGTATTTATTTTGATATTATGATGGGAAACTTGAAGTCTTCGTACCAGAACTGTATTGTATTTAAAGCTGATTTCATACTACCATTGATGTTAATTACGCTGTATCACCATGCTGTTATTGTTCAGGTCATTCGTATGGCAACTATTTTGATCCAGCGAAAGATTGTTCTGCTGTTGTGGACAATGTTCCAAAAGCGAAAAGCGGACCTTACTGGATTCAAACACGAAATGGTCCACAAAAGGTATTTTTTCCTTTTAACAACATGCATTCAAAGGAAAAGGTTTGCAAATTCCAAAATTATATATTTAATTGATTTAGTCATGGTGCGATGTTGAAACAGACAGAGGTGGGTTCTCGTTGATTGGCGTCAAAGACACACCAGAAACCTGGGCCATTCCTTCCAACGCTTCTTTCATCCACCCCCACGGTGAGCCAATGTGGTCAAGTGCATTTGGTGAGCAAGAAATCTTGGATTTTCGAGTTCAAATTTCCACCTCTAAAGATTTTCGCGATACACGAGCACAATGGTACGTAAATTGGTGTTGTTAAAAATGCTGTTCTTTGTCTCGTTTTCCTCAGCAGTTATAGTTTTTTTTTTCACATGGCTCACGCTACTGTGTTCCTTGTATTTCCAAGGTATTATCGTTTCAAATCCCCTCGTATTCTATCGGAGTTGCTCATGTCCAACAAAGGAGGATGCAGTCATCGGTACCCAGGCATTGGTGATGTCGCCTTCGTTAAAGATCTCATGACTGGAGAAATTGCGACAAGAAATTTTAAATGTTCGCGATTCGGAAGTGCAATTGCACCAGGACTAGGATGGGTATTAAGATTGTTGAAATTCTAGTCGAGCTTAACTAAACTAGAGCGATGATTACGGGGGGGTGGTGAATATTCATATATCCCGTTCTGCCTTACTGATTTCCGTTGTAAGTGCAATGGCTTACAATAGAAATCCGTCGGGCAGAACTGAATATATGAATATTCATTCACTCACCAATTAACGTCGCCCAAAAGTGGAACTCGTGGAGTTCCAGGAAACGAAACTAACCTTATTTAATTTCAACAGAGTAAAATGAACCGATGTTTCAAACAAGATTGCACGGATGGTTTTGCCTATATTTTGAATCATCATATTGATACATCAGGCTCGTACAGGTGATTATAAATATTATTACGTCGTCTTGCATTATTTGCTTTGTCATATAGGCATTGTAAGCCCCGTTTACACCACACTCAATTTATTGGTACCGCACGGCTAAAATGGGTACCCGTGCCCGGGATTGCAAAACTGCGCGAGTTACCTTTTGGCGCTCCTGGAGTCAGGAACTACAGAACAATGCTAATATAAAGAGCTTCTTCATTCTTTCTTCCATGATATAGCTACAGTGTTTTGTCTGAACGTTCCGGTATTCAGGACAAACAAACGTCATTTATTGGCTGTGATCACGGAGAGGTATGATACGATAAAAGAGTCTCTAACAAGTGGAAGATTTACAATGTTGCAAAATTAGAATATTTATTTATTCTAATAATATTTATTTATTTTAGTGTTGTGCTTGTTTTGGTCCTGACAGTAAGAAGGATTACTGTGCTCCAAGATGTCAAGCAATCAATGGCGGGACTATTTTAAAGAAAGAGGACAATATCACAGTTTGGTTTTGGATCCGTTCATCTTTACCAAAACGTGTTTGGAAAAAATGCATGGAGTTTAAAGAAAGAAACAATGCAGGGAAATTGGAAACATGGCGTGTGGAAGACGGATTACGAAGAAAGGTATAAGGTGTTTGGTTAAGTTTTTCCTCTTAGTTTGTAGTGAATGTGGTTTGAATACTGATTTGGGTCTATAGAAATTCAGTTTTACTGATCACAAGTTTGTACGATCCCGAACGTGAATCTAGATTTTTTTCTCTTGTTCATATTGTTTATAATATCACTTTACTATTTATACAGGGTCCTTGTTCGTATGGTGAAGATGTCACAATCAATGATGGGGTAAATTGATAGTTACAGCATGAATATGACTTGAGTCTTGCGTAGTGTTTGTTAAGTGCAATTCACGCAGTTTTCCAAAATTTTATGCAGGTTGCAGTGGTTCCTGATGCTCAATCAATGAACAAACTCCCAAAGATTGAAGGTCTTCTCTCCTATCGATCTGATGACAGGGAAATGTATTTTAAAGAAAGATCTCGGTGGAAAGCTTTGGCCACTCAGCAGGATGTAAGATTTGTCGATGAATAAAAATGGAAAGTTTTTAAAATATGCACACAAGAAATGATATCAACTCAGATTTAATTAATATGATACTTGATTAATATGATATGAGGTTTATCGTTCTGCATAAAATACAACAAGATGGATGCAAGAATCCCAGGCTGTTCTTTGTGAATGCCGTGGCAAATGAGTGTCAACTAAATATTAATTTTTTCTTCGCAAATAGATTGAAGGTGTCATCGGTAGACTAACTAGACTTGAAAGTTTTAAACGGGCAGTAGAAAGTTTCAAACGCGTGACCAATAATAAGTTTGCAAGCGTAACGAAAGGTAATCTTTTTATTGTTATGAATTCGGGATAATCACGGTTCAGTTAAAAGGCGTTAATTGAACATGACCCAATTTTTTCTATATGTTTTACAACAACGCACATTTTTTTGTTCTTTTAAGATGTGAATGTGCTGACTCATTCATCGTGCAAACAAATATGGATGAGTCAAAGGTACAATAACTGCACTTTCCTCCGCATGGGCGTTTGTGTAAGAAGTATTAAAATTAGTATAATACTTAGTTCCAAAGCCTTTGCAGGAGAGTGCAAAGTATAGGTGAATATCGGGCTTTCTTTTAGTTCCAAGTTCATGCGCATCAGGTTCTTGCTTGACTTCGTTAATGAATATTTTTTTACAATATAGATTCTAAAAAGCGCATATCTCAGTGTTAAAGTATATTTTGTTATATCTACTAGCAACCGTGGTAGTGGTGTTTATCAAATTATTGTTGGACGAAATCAATTGATGAACGTCTATTGTCGAATGTCATCAATCTCAGGTTGTTCTGGTGGAGGATGGACGATGGTGATGAAAATTGATGGGAGCCAGGTGAGAATTATCGTGGAAGAGACCATTTGGTGTCATATGTATAGATTTTGAATTAGGGGTATAGGATAGTTTGGACCTCTAAGTTTTAGAAAACCATTAGATACAGTTCTGGTTACGTTTGGGAAGAGGTTAAAGATAATCTTATATAATAGGGTACTTTAAGATTAACGCATCTTTTTAGGGTATTTTTAGTTGCACTTCTGGTTATTCGTATAAGTTTAGGGAAGTTGTGAAGGATAATCTTAACGTATCTATTTTAGAGTACTTTTGAATACAGTTCTAGTCATTGGACCAACAAGATCACTTTCAGTGACAATTTTTATGGAAGAATCGGAGGTTTTGACAACCGAGAATTCAAAGGATCAACATATTGGAAAACTTCATTCAATGAAATCTGTGTCGCGATGAAATATGGTGGTCAACTCAGAGCCCTCTCTTTCTCGTATCCAGCATCGTCCTTGTATGATCTGATCGCTGACGGTGATTATCGTCAAACTCACGTTGGTCGCTCTCAATGGAAACAGCTTATCCAAGGATCATCTTTACAGCGTAATTGCAACAGAGAGGGACTCAACGTGTTCTATAGCGGAGCCACTGTTAAGGTTCGGTTGGGAATCATTGCAAACCAGCAGAATGACTGCAGAACCCCTGACTCTTTCATAGGCCTGGGTGGTAACGAAAGGCCGTGGGTTTGTAGCAAAATTCTATCTTCCTATAACATCGCTGGCAATGTTGCTTCGTGTTCCCCAGACAACGGAGACAAGAACTTGAAAGCAATGGGATACATACTGGTCCGTTAAATGTACAACGCTCGCCGGATTTGATTAATACCTTTAAATTGGTCAATGGCAATTAACTGATTTTTTTATCATGCATAACTAGTAGAGAAGTAAAAAAGTTATTTTTGCACTGAATTTAGCATTTTGATTCCTTCTTTTTTCTAAATCTTTAGTTCATATAGCCAGTGACATCGTTTTCACCTGCACGTATAATCTCATTTTGTAAATTGTGGATAAAACTGAAATATTATTGCCATGTTATCTGGCTCGTTGATCTAGAAATAAACAACTTTTTGCAAACAATGGACATTTGTGACATTTTCTGACTTTTTCGTAATATTTACCATGCGAAATTAACTGTGCGAAATTGTCAGGGGGGGGCACGCGAATAATTTGAGTTAAATTACTCGACTCACGAGAAAAAATTGCCCGGCTTATCACTGATCTCAGCAAAATTTTTCCCGAATTTCGGTGGAATTTCATAGAAATTCGCTTAACTTATTTTCTATTTGGTTTTTAATTTCAATATTTAAATTTTGTTCTTTGGCTTAATCATTGTATAACCAGGATTCCTCATTACTACAGAGGCAACACTTGGCCAAATAAATTCTGGTAAAGCTTTATATAGTGCTGGGGCCGGTTGTATCAAGCCCGTTTAGCTTAAACGGTGGATAAGTTCAAAATCGAAAGCAAGTCTATCGTTTTATTCAACAAGCGAACTAAATGTTTTTTATCTTAATACAATGATACTGTTTACAACTACATATTTAGTGCATAATATTCAAGTTGACTCACTCAAGAGAGATGTAAGAGTGTTATTTCATTTTGACTTATTCGCCGTTTATAAGCTAAACGGGCTTGATACAACCGGCCCCAGTTAGTTACTATTTATTGGAACATTTTGCTGTTTATCTTTATTTTGCTCATTTAATTTGCTGTTCCTAGCTGTTGTTATTGTTAGCTGAACTCTCATCCCGCCGAAATGAAAACAATAAATTATAATCATGAATAGAATGCCCGTTTACATGCACGAAATATCTTTCATAAATACACGAAATAGCTTTCATAATTGGAATAGCTCCGAAGAGTGGGCATGCATTTTTAAATTTATTTTCTTTATTTAGGCGGCAAAATATATATGTTGGAATAACGTTTTTTAAGCGGCGCCAGTGTTTGTCGCTTAAAAAATATGAAAATTAAATTCTTTTAAATTTAAGCACAAATTTCAAGTGGTTGGCGTGCATATACATCAATAACACTAACTTACTTACGCATGTAGGTGAAAAAAAATTCATTATTAGACTATATTTTTGAATTCGTCTATATATAAGTACACATATATTCAACACAAAACAAAGCAACACAATTGAACCAAACCCGCTGCAGGAGTTGCTTGATCTAAAGACTGAAGATCGAAATATATATTTGCCGTTTAACTCCAGATCACACGAACGCCATAAAAGTCAATTTGTTAGTTAAATTGTTGGACGGTGAAAGCTGGTGCTTACATCACAGGTATATTAATTGAAATGCGCGTAAAAACTGATATAATTAATTACGTATAGGATAACTGTCACATATAGTTAGTATTTGACAGACTGACGTTCCTCACCAAACAATATCTAATTTGATTACAAGTTATATATATTCTGTAGGGGGCATTAAGACTGATACAGCTCTCTTCATATAGATAATGAGGGCTGAACGAAACAACCGAAAACCAATCATATTTGGCAACTGTAAAGAAGTTTTGCGGACCATTTTAATAATTTACTTCACTGCAAACCTCGTTTTTGGAGAATTTGAAAACGAAGAGTTTGAATTCAGTGAAAAAAGATATGAAAATAATGTCGCTTAAAAAATATGAAAATTAAATTCTTTTAAATTTAAGCAGAAATTTGAAGTGGTTGGCGTGCATATACATCAATAACACTAACTCACTTACGCATGCAGGTGAAAAAAAATTCATTATTAGACTATATTTTTGAATTCGTCTATATATAAGTACACATATATTCAACACAAAACAATACAACACAATTGAAGCAAACCCGCTGAAGGACGGTAGCTTGATCTAAAAACTGAAGATCGAAATATATGTTTGCCGTTTAACTCCAGATCAGAAGAACTCCATTAAAGTCAATTTGTTAGTTAAATTGTTCAACGGTGAAGGCTGGTGCTTACATCACAGGTTCACAGGTATTAATTGAAATGCGCGTAAAAACTGATATAATTAATTACGTATAGGATAGCTGTCACATATAGTTAGTATTTGACAGACTGACGTTCCTCACCAAACAATATCTAATTTGATTACAAGTTATATATATTCTGTAGGGGGCATTAAGACTGATCGATACAGTTCTCTTCATATATATAGAATGAGGTCTCAACGAAACAAGCGAAAACCAATCATATTTGGCAACTGTAAAGAAGTTTTGCGGACGATTTTAATAATTTACTTCACTGCAAACCTCGTTTTTGGAGAATTTGAAAACGAAGAGTCTGAATTCTGTGAAAAAAGATGGTCCGAATTTGTTGAAGACAGAAAGCAGTGGAAAAAAGAATGTTCGAACGAAAATGTCACAATGTCACCTTGTTGTAACGAGACAGCTGACTACCTTGAAAACAGATATGAAGATTACATTAAGTTTTGTCCCATTGGCGTTGCAGGTAATATTTATTTTGATGTTGATGTAATTTGTGAGGCTTAATATAGTGCAGTTAAGTTTTTTACTAATATAACCAGGGAGCAGCGTGGCAGCGTCTTCAAACAACTTAGCATCAAATTTGTTATAACAACTGCCTAAAATAAACAAAACACTTCTCGACGTTTCGACCTGAGGGCCTTCGTCAGGAGAGTTTCTAAGCTAACTCTCCTGACGAAGGCCCTCAGGTCGAAACGTCGAGAAGTGTTTTGTCTATTTTAGGCAGTTGTTATAACACATTTGATGCTTAATTTTTACTAAGTATAGTCGTGGATATAAAGTCCGTTTACACCAGAAATATATGGCTTGATTCACGCATGTCAAGCATCACACGTCATCGGGCGTGCCGGCAAAACTGAGTTATCATGCGCGTCAAGTAATTTGTCACTGTTTATCCGGCCCTACTAAAATTCTAATTTACAATTAACTGAATGGCCAACGCGTTTCTGCATCATAAATAATGGAATAACTCTAAAAAATTTCAAGTGCCGAAGTCATTTGAAATGGAATGAAATGAAAATTCAGTTTCGTAGAAGATCCGGATTCTGATTGGTTGATATCTGTAATAGGATCAGGCATAAGCATAACAGAAAAGTGTCAAATATGTATCACTGAATATTTTCTCATTTCTTTAAAAAAATAATCCCGAAAATACCGTGATGTCCAGGCCCTATATAGCTGTGGCGGTTGAAACTCGATTTATTTTATTTTATTTTATTTCATTTAAAGGCAAATGCAATTGTCGTTTTAAAGAGCAAAATATAGACAGCGTTGCGTACGGTAAAATATCAGAACCAGTGTTTTGGACGAGTCCAACAATTAACTGCTCGCATCGGTTCCAGACTGATCTCTATGAAGTAGAACCGAACGTGAAATCACCGCATCGTTTTCCTGTTGGTTTGAATAAAATCAAGCATAACTTTCAACTGTATGGAGGAATGAAGGTTTCATGCACTATTATGGTCTATGTGCACTCTTGCACTAGCAGCGGTTAGTATATACATAATTTTCAGTTTCTACTAAATTCACAATCATTAATTACGTGTTGATTACATTTTTTGCTTACTCTAAAATCATACTTGACCTGATTAAACTAATACTAATAATAGTCCTATACTAAATATTTAGAACCAGATCTAGAAAGGAGTGTTAATCTACAAGAGAGTGTTAATCTAGAAGAGAGTGTTAATAAGACCAAAGGTAAACCGTGTTCTGATTGGTCGAAGCCCGTGTTTGGATCAGCCCATCCAAACACGGAAATTTAAAGTTTTAAAGAATTTAAATTTAAATTCAGGCCTTGTCGTTGTTATTTTATATTCAGCTCGTGTTTCGCGCGCTTTTCTTAACTATCGCAACATTCCCGCGCGTTTGGATCAGGCCATGCAAACACGGAAACCATTTAGTAATTTTATAATCCGTATAAAACAGCATGTAGTGGACGATTTCTGTGTACCAATTTGCATTGCGCATGCAGCGGCCCCTTAATGTCTGATCGTCTTTCGTATGTAGTTTCCGATTGCAAAAAAATCCTTGTTCTCTGGGGTAGCTCCAGTTCTGGTAGCTCTGATAATTTTACCGCTGCTAAAAAATTCCTCAAGAAGTTTGTCAGAAATGAAAAGCTTCGCGTGGAAGAAAATGGCACTCATCTTGGTTTCATCACCTTTTCAAACGACAACCGAACTGGAAAATTTTGAAAGTCGGGGAAATGAAGAACAAAACAGAGTTAATACAGTGGCATAGGACTATAAAAATGATTCGAACGAAAATGGGACCTTTATGAATAAAACACTTCATCTTGCAGACAATGTAAGTTACCACAATACGCTCTGCATGCAAGACATTTGATAATCAAAAAGGCGATGACGAAGGCCGACAGTTTCGCTATTTTAGGGTAAAAGTAATTTCGTAAAGGGGAAACCATCCAAACGAAGACACCGCTTCACAAAGTGAATCTTATATTTTAATATTATTGCACAAATGATTTCTGTTTTTGACAAAAGGCAAAGAAAATAGTAGAATTAAGTCGCAAAGAGCAGTTTCTCACACTTTACCACATTTCTTGAGAGTTTAACAATTGAAGATATAGTTCATCTATATTCAATCCCATTTCAAAGTCGTTTAAAATTTATTTGCTCTTGATAAGGCGAATGTCGGCTATGTTTTTAATGCAATTGGAAAAATCAACTTTTTTAAAGGTGATCAACAAGACTAGTCCCAAAAACTTCCGTCCTGATGTAGACGACGTTATTTTGTGGTTAATCGATGGAGAAAACAAGTATAATGCGTCAGAATATGAAACAAAGTTCATGGATGAATATATCAGAATACTCATAAATAAAAACATCACCATTGTTTTCTTCATTACTGGCAATGAAGACGAAATCAAAAGTATGAGACGATATGTTGAGCGTTGGTCATTACCAGAGCTCATATTTGAATCAAAGTTGGATGAGCTGGACAAAGTTGTGAATAAAATAGTTGATGCTTCGTGCGCGTCGCCTGGTAAGATTATGTAAAGTTCGTTCTGAGGCAGTCGCGATTGATTCGAGAAATGACTGACTCTCGTCGTCTTCCTGATACTTATTTT